TTAAAAAGTATTAAAAAGTGATAAATAAAAAAAGTCAAATTTAAGGCCATTAAAAGTGTTAAATTTGGTCTCAGAGGTATTATTTTTTCCAAATTAGGTATTTCTTTTTTTCAGACTAGCAGGTGTCGTATTCTGAACATCGACATAGAAATGTATTCCGAATGAAATGTTTTGAACGATTATAAAAACAAAACAAGCCGATTATTTGCTCCTCCCACTTGCGCTGCCCTGAGTTAAAAATGAAGCGCTCCTCACAGCGTTGCCAACTTGGTGACTTTGACGCTATTTCTAGCAGCTTTTCAGACCCCCTTCCTGACTTTTTAAATCTTAAAAGTACCTAGCGAACACCTCAGAAACATCTCTGGTAACCCTTAGCTACTTTCTGGATAACTGTCGTCGACATTTCCTGCAGGTTAGCTAAACACTCCGCCTGCGCTCCCGACCGTTCTTCAGGACATTAGGAAAGGGAATGATGTAGTGATGTGCCGGTCGCTAAAGAAACAGTTCTCGGAGCCGGCTCCCTGTTGGATTAACCAGAGTGAGTGACACACACACCGCACCTGCGGACTCCTGAGCCGATAAAAACGGCTAATGTGCGTGTGCGGCGCGCTAAACACACGTGCAGCTTGCCCCTGATTGCTGTGAGACCGGGTTGGGGGGTGGGGGGTGCAGCTGTGGTTGGGACAATTATTACATTAACTGATGGACTTGTAAATAAATAGTTTATAAATAAGGTAGAAATATGTTCCTCACACTGATAAATAATAACTAATCTCTCTGAGGACACGGTGCTAGTGTACTCTCCTACAGCACCTTGACAGACTAAATAAATGTTATGCAAAATTTAGTGAACATCAATTTGCATTTATTTGTTATAAATGCCACTGTATAATTCTTGCTGTCATTATTTGCAAGATATTGGTATTTGGGTCTGTACTGGTTAGACTTAAATGAGTTAAACCAAGGTCTATAGCCCTTGGGTCATAAACTATGAGCTATAAGTATATTGGTCTTTTTATACTGGGAATCAGGAGTTATTTTAGTGATCATCTTGTTTCTTATTTATTTTTGCCCTGAGCAATTTTATGACTGAATAAAAACAACAACAAAAAAATCTACATAAATTGAAAAATCGTCTTAAATAATCGAGATCTCAATTTCAGTCACAATAAACGTGATTATTGTTTTTGCCATAATCGAGCAGCCCTACTTTAGCATATCCAGTCACATAATGATGACGTCATATTCAGTGGTCGATCTGCATCATTTCAGGCCTCGTGGTCAACTGTCTGAACCGCTGAACAGAAGTGCATGACTTATTTTCTAAGTAAAATAAATATGTGCAATACATTGTCAACATCAGTGAGTCTCTAAGGCTATTCTTTTTGTATGTTATATATGTTAAAATATGTGTAAATAGGTCGCTGATTAACACTTGCAATTTAGTGTTGTGATGGTTTTAAAAAAATTCTGAAGGTAGTAAAAAAAAGTATTAAAAAGTAGTAAATTTTACTTAAGGATTGCTGTATATACCCTGCGGAGTCCAAGTCCCCCACTGCTCTCGGGACGCGGTCAAAGCTCTGCCGGAGGTGGGAGTTGAAGACCGTCTCAACAGGTTCTTCTGCCAGGCGATCTCAGCAGACCCTCACTATGCGTTTGGGTCTGCCAGGTCTACGTGGCATCTTCCCCTGCCATCTGATCCAACTCACCACCAGTTGGTGATCAGTTGACAGCTCCGCTCCTCTCTTCACTCGGGTGTCCAAAACATACGGCAGCAGGTCAGATGATACGACTACAAAGTCTATAATCGACCTGCGACCTAGGCTGCCCTGGTACCAAGTGTACCGATGGGCATCCTTATGTTCGAACATGGTGTTCGTTATGGCCAAACTGCGGCTTGCACAGAAGTCCATTAACGAAATGTAAATGCACATGACAAATCTTCTTCAAACTCCAGGGTTACTTGTGGAGCATCACAGGGTTCAGTTCTTGGACCAATTATTGTACTATACCTGTATATATGCTCCCAATTGGTAAAATCATTGGATAGCATGGGATTAACTTCCACTGTAATGCTGACGATGCTCAATTATATTTATCCATTTACCCTGATTAACCTAATCGGTTAGGTAGATTACAGGCTTGTCTTGAAGACATAAAAAATGGATGACTCAAAACTTTCTACTTTTAAATCGAGACAAGACTGAAGTTCTCATCTTTGGACCTGAAATACAGAAAATGAAATTGCTTAGTCAATCACCTGACCTAAATGGCATTAAATTAGTCTCCTAGAACAAAGCAAGGAACCTTGGTGTTATCTTTGACCATGACATGTCATTCAAATCCCACGTTAAACAGGTTTGTAGGATTTATTTTTTCCACCTTTGGAATATTGCTAAGATTAGAAGCTTCCTTTCCAGGAGTGATGCTGAAAAACTAGTTCATGCATTTATTACATCAAGACTGGATTACTGTAATTCATTACTCTCAGGAAGTCCACAGAATGTAGTTAAAAGTCTTCAGCTTGTCCAAAATGCTGCAGCTAGAGTTCTGATGAGAATTAAAAAGAGAGATCATATCTCTCCTGTCTTAGCTTCCCAACATGGGCTACCTGTTAAATTCAGAATAGATTTTAAGATCCTTCTTCTCACATATAAAGCTCTTAATAATGAAGGTCCATCATACATCAGTGACATGATTGTTCCATACGTTCCTAACTGAGCACTTCGCTCTCAGACTGCAGGTCTACTGGTGGTTCCCAGAATATCTAAAATTAGGATGGGAGGCAGATCTTTTAGCTATCAGGCTCCTCTCTTGTGGAACCAGCTCCCAGCTTTAGTCCGTGAGGCAGACACTTTGTCTACTTTTAAGAATAGGCTTAACACATTTTTATTTGATAGGGCCTATGGTTAAAATCTGATGTTAGCCTAAATCTGGACAAGTGGGGGAGTAGAGGGAGGTGGAGTGTACAGTCGGTAAAGACGGCTCTCCCTTGCCCTGCCTCCAACATGCCTCCATCTTAATAGGATAGATTATCCAGAGTTATCTCTGTAGTTATGCTGCTATAGGCTTAGACTGCTGGAGGACATACTGACCACTTTCCACACTCGACTACTTTCTTCTACAATCTGCTCTTTATCTGTATTATTTCCTGCTATTTCAGCTGTTAACTTTTTCTCTCTAAGTGTTTTTCTGCCCAGAAGGAGCTACAGTGATGTTCTGCTGAGCTGTGGTGGCCTCATGGAGGGGGCCATTAGCTTTAACACTGTTGCTAACCACTTAAACATTCTCCCCTCTCCTGGTAATGACATTTTACTTTCTTTGACGTTGGATGTGCTACTACTAGTTTACCCATTTAATTATAGATTCACTAGGATAAATACAATAAAGTTTATCCCTCACCAAATAGAATATTTACTAAGAAATCGCAATATAACCATAGACACATTGCTTGGTGTGTGTGTGTGTGTGTGTGTGTGTGTGTGTGTGTGTGTGTGTGTGTGTGTGTGTGTGTGTGTGTGTGTGTGTGTGTGTGCGCGCGCACGCTCTCTGTCTTCTCCCTCCCCAGTGAGTCGTGGAGGATGGCTGCTTATACTGAGCCAGGATTCTCTGGAGGTTTCTTCCTGTTAAAAGGGAATTTTCCTCCCCACAGTCACTAAATGCTTGCTTAGTATGAGGATTGCTGTAAATTAAGGGTGTCAAACTCATTTTAGCTCAGGGGCCACATTGAGGGAAATCTAGTCCCAAGTGGGCCGGACCGGTAAATAAAAAAAAAAAACTTCAGATTGTTTTCTTTGTTTTAATACAATCAATATAAAACGAGGCTGGAGCCTGAGGACAGTGTAGTACATGTACAACACCTGAAGTGTACTTGAAAATTTGAAAAAATATTTAAAAAATCAACAAATAAAAAAATCATTCCTTAGTGATTCAAAGAGCTTACAGATCACATGGCTAGATCAGTTTCATGCAGCACTTAAAGTATATTTGACTCATTTTACTTTACATCTTTTAGCTTTCACCGGCACATCAACATCAGAAGTCACATCCTGAGTGGCGGCCAACTTCAGGATGTGATTCAAGTTCTTGTGTGAGCCTTGAGCGCAGCTTTGTTTTATTTATACTCATTACAGAGAAAACTTGCTCACAAAGATAAGTTTATTTTCACTCTACATTGTAAAGTATGAAAATACGGTTTACACAACCATCTCGTGGGCCGGATTCTACCCGCTTGAGGGCCTGATCCGGCCCGCGGGCCGCATGTTTGACGCCCCTGCTGTAAAGTCACTGACACTAGTCAGTGACTCGATGCAATTTGCTGGGTTCCTTATATAGGAAACTTTTTACTGATTGGCTTAATGAACTGACCTGAATTGGAATGTTTAACAAGTGAAGTGCCTTGAGACAACTCTTGTCGTGATTTGGCGCTTTATAAATAAACTTCAGTTGAATTGAATTGAATCAGGGAAGATGGAGTAACCTGGTCATTCAGTATAGTCAGGTAGTCAGCTGACCTCATTCTTGGAGCACATTCTGTTGCTGATCTTAGACCTGACCAACTGCAGCAAGCCCAAATCATAGCACTGCCCCCACCTGCTTGTAGAGTAGGCACTAGGCAGGATGGGCGCATCACTTCATCGGCCTCTCTTCTTACCCTGATGCACCATCACTCTGGAACAGGTCCATCTGGACTCATCAGACCAGTTTTTAATAATGCGTTGGATAGTTCTTAACCCAATTTTAGTCATTTCTGCATCTCCTTAGACGTTTTCTCTGCTTGATGCATGCTAATGATCTGACACTTCTCACACTGATTAACATCTTTTCCACGACCACCAGACGTGTCTTTCCACATGGTTGTTTAAGAAATGAGAAGCAACTCATTGCACCAGTTGGGGTTAAATCACTTGTTGCAGCTGAAAGATAATCACCCATGCAGTAATTATCCAAAATGAGGCTCGTACCTTTATGCTTAGTTAAATCCAGGTGGCCACTTGTTTTTGGCTGGGCAGTGCATTTTAAGTGTTTGATTTATTTTAACCTTATTATTTAACACTGAAGATCCAACAGACAGATACTAATACATCACGTAACAAAGTTACATTACCATCAGAGGACTGCAGAATCTGCAGATGTGCACAGAAATAGAAGGTGTTATAGTCTAACCATCTTTTTTGACCATCAGTTTCTTTACAATGTAATTAGGCATTTTATTGAATACGAGAAGTCCTTGGGCTACATCTACAGCACCATTCACAATAGACAAAAATAACAAAAGTCAGTCCTTCACAATAAATGTTTGAAACATACAAAAGTGTCTCAAAAGATGTAAAGCTCATAAAGATCGTCTTGTTTGCAGGAGGGGCCTTAAAATGTCTAGGGTGCACCCTATAAGGCTGAGCCTTTCCACCCTGTTGAGCTTTATATTTTGGGTTAGCTCCATCTGCACCAGAAAAGACCAGTTCAGCATCCACATCACTGAAGACACTGCCCCAATCCACCCATTCGCCTGCTCCCTCTGTCAGTGCTGACCTCTGTGATACTTAAAAGTGCAATAAGAAGGATTGACATCTTGTAGTCAAATGTGGGTACTGCAGTCCATTTTTCTAAACAAAAAGTCACTTTCTCACTCCTTTTTCGTGAATTTCTTAACTGTTGCCAGTTACGGATCAGCGCCAGAAGATTCTTGATGATGAGCAAAGACAAGTTATAAACAGTGAGTTTATTTGTTTATAAAAGCGTTATCTGGTGTTTGCACTCTTGGGTGTTTTACTGTGGAGCACCTACTACACTTATTATGGTAGTAAGCCTCCTGCATTAAGAGGAAGTGTAGTTGTTTGCCGTCTTGCTGTTATAGTTCTGAACGGCTTATTAAAGGGGGTAAAACGCCACGGCTGATTCTTTATTCACTTCACACATACATTTCACTGTAATATTTAGTTGTTGGTAATTGAAAAAGTAGCCTAAGATCAGAGGCGCCCCCAGAAAATGTTTATAAATGTGGCTAGACGGGGCCAAAGAACATTTTGGGGTGGCAAACCAAATTGGTCCTTGTGGTAACTCTGGGAGAGTTTAGCCTGTAGCGATGCATCACATTGCTCCTCTATTCTTTTTTATTAAAAAACAATATGTGTCCAAAACACTTCAGAAACACAAACATTTCAGAAAACTTCTTCAGGTATTTAAAATGTTTTTCTTTTTAGACTTTTTTTTGTGTTAAATTCATCTATTGCTGTCTTCACAAAGAACAATGGCGATATAAACTTTATTTTTTAATTTTTTGGTGAGCAGCAGAAACATATATTTTTTGAAATGGCCACCCCATGGGGGTGCCACTGCTTAAAATATTTTCAGTCAATGTTCGAGTCAAATCCACCATTAGCATTGTTAGCTCAACGTTAGCTTCTAGCCTGCTTTACCCTTCTTAGGTGGTACAAGAAACAACTTCTGGGTCATTCCTGTTACTGGCTTCAGTTCTTTTTAATTATGGAGCTTTTAGCCTACTAGTGTCAGATGGCCACACAGATTTTAAACAGTGTCTACGTCTGTCAGACCATTTTAAAAGGAGAAAACCTGGTGGTGACCACCCACCTGCAGATGATTGAGACAGTAGACTGTTTTGTGATCATTCATTGTAAAATTCTCACATATTGCTACTTTAATCTCCTCCATGTGAGGCAAGACCTCACCCCCATGCTGGGGGATCTATACATTTCATACTGAGAACCTGGACCTCAGATTTGGACATACGTATCCAAACAAATTAACATTTCAGTTCTCTCTCTTGCCTTATTATCTTTAATCTAGACACTTGCTGTTTATTTTGTTTCATCAGTGAAATTTCTACAAACGATCCAGAATAGTGTGTCACATCTCAATCACCCTAAAAGAGCACACATCCACCCTCACCTCATTGTAAAGGCTTAAACAAAAATCCCGATCTGTAATGGTCTGTGTCTGCGTCTCCCTCGTGTGTCTCCTTGTGTGCTCCATTCCCCCCTAAGAATCCCCCTTATGTGTCTCTTTGTGTTCCTCATGTGTCCCCTGGTCTTCAGCTCTCCAGATATTCCCTCCCAGGTCCTGTGTACCTTCAATCTCCCCCCAGTCACCCCTCTACAGTTTTTTATAGGTTCAGCTTCTCATTGTATTAGTCTCTTTAGTGTGTTTTTTCCACAGGTTTTTGTAGTTTCCCTTCCCCTTAGAATATTAGTTATTTTGCTACTCATCTCGTCTTTAGGTTTTTTACTCTACTCTTAGGTCATGTTAGTTTCCTTCCTGATTAGTTAATTGCTTTCACCTGGTTCTCTCTCCACACACCTGCAGCCCATCTGCCTCCCATAATGCCCAGTGTATACAACCCTGTCTTGTCTCAGTGTCTTGTTGGTCCATTGTTGTTGTCAGCATTGTTTTGGTGCTCTGTGTGAGCTTTGTGTCTCCTCCCCAGGTTTGTGCTCTAAGTGAGCTTTTGTTCTCCTGATTCAGGATTTTTGTTTTTGGCTTCCTGCCCCTTTGGATTTTTAGTTCATCATCCTAAATAAAGGATTTATTTTTAAAACGCTCCTGCCTATTGTCTTCTGGGGTAATCTGCATTTTGGGTCCTAACCATCCTCAAATCGTGACACCGTCACTCCGATCATCACAGGATTGTCGGCTGGCAGTACCGACACCATGCAATTCATACTCTTTTCCAGCATTTCTCTATGATGGTGCAATGACCTATTGAGTGCTACCAGATCACAGGCAACCATGCTGTCTCTCCAAGAAACTCTTGAAGACCCAGATCTTCAGATATCTCCTTATACTATAGCATCTCAAGTTTTCAATTACAACCCAAGCCCAGTTTATTTTTTGTTTGTTGGTTTGTTTTTTGCTGGGAATCTATTATTTGACTTAGTTGCTCACAGTATCGTTTAAAATGGACTACCACCAGACTCAAATGTGAATAATATACCAGAATGCATGACCAGAAACAGGTGTAAAGTAGCACACGGGTAACATGAATGCTACACGTTAGCATGTGCATGCAGATTCTAAAGTTGTTTAATCAGAACTGACAAACTTGTGACAAAGTGATGAAGGGAAACATCTGTCTTCCATCATTTGCATGTGATCTTGTCACTTCGCACCTCCTTCGCCACACATTTGTGTCCTGAATGCAATAGTTGCATTAAATGTGACATGACAATTGAAACTGAGAAAAAATGGACTTGTAGCTTCATGAAAAGAACTTGGAGATGACTTTGTTGTGAATTGGTGCCTTTTCAAGAGGTCCTTCTCTCATATGTTTAACCCATTCACTGTAGCCGTTATCTGAACAGAAAGCTCGACTGCCAGCGTTTTAGAGCATTTTTACTGTTTTTTTTAAGAGTCACAGGGTGTGTCCGAATCCACTGGAAGGATTCTTGTAAGAGCGCACTTTGAGGTCGATGACGTCACAGCGCAGCGACGAGTACTGTTTGAATTCCAAGAATACTCAAACTCGTCCTCGCTCCGCCCACATTTCGAGGATGGGTCTGTTGTCTCCTCACAGAACAAGGCTATCCCAGCATGCTTTGCACGCCGGCTGTGGATTTTCAACAGGAAGAGAAAATGGGGAGAGCTACGAAGTTTTAAACGTAAGTTTGTTAAAAACTAGCCGTAGAAACCTAAAAAGCTTAAAGCGGTTCAGTTTATAGACATTTTTCATTTGTATATTTGTTTTTTTTTATTACATTTTAGGCAGAAATCAGCCAGAATGAGTTTGTGTCGCAGGTCCCAGTTATTCCCGTGTGTGTGTGTGTGTGTGTGTGTGTGTGTGTGTGTGTGTGTGTGTGTGTGTGTGTGTGTGTGTGTGTGTGTGTGGCGAATTAAACTTGTCATTTGTTTTAAGGACAACGGAGCAAAGAAGCGTTTTTATTAAGCTTAGAGGTGAAGAGTGAAGCTGTTTACACACAACCACAGTAGTTCTTCTGTGAAAAGTAGTTTTACATTCAGGGATTTACACAGCTGACACGTTTTAATGAAGTAAAAAGTTTGTGTGAAGAATAAAAGTTTTATCTTCCCATGTAGAAAAATGTAAAAATGTGTTTATTGCCCTTTTGTCACCTGTGGTCTGATTTTCTCTGTAGGACTGCAGGTGTCCAGGGTCAGGAGTGGCTTTACCTGGTGGTCCTCCTGGGAGAGAGGCCTTCTACTGTCATCATGTTGATGTTATTTAGCTGTTTGATATTTGAACACATTTATTAAAACAAATACTAACTGATAACTCTTTCTGGTCATTGATTTCATCACCAGTTTTATTATTACAGATGTTTTTGAACATGTTACATGAACAGAAAATGAAAAGATGGTAAGGAGACAAGATTATTTATAATAGGTTACACTTATTTACAGATCAAAACCAGTATGGACCAGTTTTGTACGGTTAAAGCAGGATTAACCTGAGTGACTCTTCCTGGATCTTTTATTTAAACTGAGTGAGCAGGAAGTCTTTATCAGTGCAGCTGGATCTGCTGCAGGAGGATCCAGACGTGGATGGAGGGCTGGAGCAGACCCGTGGCTGGACGTTTCTGGCCAGAGGAACATCATACAGGACGGTCTGCAGAGAGAGCGTTGGGACGCTTCCTCTCACTGTCCACTCCATCGTCCATCTACAGGGCCTGCTGGGCTGGCTCAGACGACGGCTGTTACATCTCTGTGAATGACTTGCCTGTTAACAGCAGTGGTGGTCTGCTGGTACCTCCTCCAGGACAGAGCACCACTGACCTCCTCCACAAACATCTTCCTCACGCTCATCCTCCAGACCCACAACTTCACCAGCACCGATGCAGATGTGCAGCACAGTGCATGCTGACCTGTAATAGATTAAAAAGTGTTTTTTATAGAAAAATGTAAAACAAAACCTTTAACCTGCAGTACACTGGTTCTGTTCAGTTTAAAGAAAAGCAGCAGGGAAAACTACAGAGAATTTACATTTTTAAGACAGATCTAATCATTATTAGGCTTAAGTTGAATAAACAAATGCACACTGAAAACAGTTCAATGCTATTTTATTAAAAAGCCTGTTTTTTAAAGCATTTTACCCTCATTTGATGCAAAATAAGTTCTAAGGTCCAATTTACATTAGAAAACATCCGACTGCATTCAACATTTATAATGCATTTGGTTTATATTAATTACCTACATGATAATACTCTGTAGTAATGTGTTGTGTACGTTTAACAAGTTCATTCTGTAGCTTAAAACATACACGAAACCATCTAAAGTTAACATGTAAGTCCTGAAAGCTTCTAGAGTAAACAAAGTTACTTTACCTGAAAACGGTTGTGAACAAACGCTGCTGATGGACGTGAAGCTGCTGCAGCTCCTTAATATTCCTGCTCCATTTTCGCTAGCTTTAGCATTTTTCCTTTGCGTGTAGCTGCCGCCACGGCCGTGAGGAGACCTACGGGTCACCGTAGAGGTGAAGGCTAGACTGTCCGAATTCAGAGCCGCTGACTTCCGGTCTTAGCGGTCTTCAAGGACCCGGCCTTGCTAGACCGGCGAGGACCCGTACTCATAAGCATCCTTCCTGTGGATTCGGACACACCCACAGAATATTGTGTTCTATGATCATGTAAACGCACGTGGAAACTACCAAAAGAAAAAGTAGACTCACTTCTTATAGCAGGAAAAACAGCTCCTTTCTAGCTTTTTCTGTTCTTTCACAATCCGTCGTCGAAGTGTGAGCTGCAGAAGCTTTTTCGGTTAGCTCCTGGCTTTGAGCACAGTGACCTCCCAAAATGATCTCTTAATTCATGGATTGTCTGCATCATGGCACACACGGGTGGAGATCAGCTTTAGAGCCGTGATGGTTTACAAGGTACTCTCAAGGTGCGGGAGCTCGTTTCCTATGCCCGCCCCGTATAAAAACGCTGTTGACGACTTTAGTTGTCAATGGCAGGGAATGAGTTAATAAATTTGCAGTGGTCTTTAGTAGGAATAAATACATTGTAAGTTGTACCATGGGGAAAAAAAAGCCCCGGTGCGTCTGTTTCAGCCGACAGGATTTGGAGTCTTGTTTCCTGATATTTGGAGATGTTTCCTCGGATTGGCTAACAGCAATGTGACTCTACCACTGACTCCATTTCCTCTGCTATGTGATGTTTTATCTCCACAAATAACACGAGCCTGGAGGAGTTCTGCTGTGTGGTGGAGTTGCTAATGCTAATGTGCGTTTCCTGGATGCTAAACCAACAACAGACCTCCCCATCACAAGTCCATTGGTGAATCCATGAATGTGACAGTGTGACTTAGATCTGTGAGGATTTTTAAATCCTAGTTTCATCTTCATCTATCAGAAGCCAATGCAGGAGAGAGGTGGAGGAGACCATTTTCATGTTCAGCCTGCATGAAAAACTCAGAGTGACCAGTCATTTTAAAAAATAATGAGTGAAAAATGGTTTTTTGGGAAGGATCTCTTCAAATAAACAAAGTTTATTAAATGTGAGCGTAAACGTCACACTCGAAAATGAGTAAAAAAAACTACAGGCTTCAATGACGAACAATAAAAATGACACTTTCAAGTCTTTTTCACACACTTATGCATGAATATCCTTCACTCTGGGAACGCACCGGGATTGGTGGTTGTGAATAACTCCTCAGTAACATCGAAACATAAACTAGTCATCGTCTACGTCCTCCCCTCCGGTTATACAAGACAGGCGCCTACTCAGAATCATACTCTCTGATATTTCTGGTTTACCCAGTTGCCTCCAGAATTCATCACTTGTGAAGTAGTACATGAGCGGGTCGAGGCCACAGTTCAGGCTGGCCAGGGAGAGCGTGACGGTGTGGCATCGCAGAACCAGATCTCGGAGGGAGCAGTCGCTCAGGGTGTTGGCTTTGGCTAGAAAGTCCATGGGCATGGTGATGTGGTAAGGTGCAAAACATAACAAAAAGACCACAGCACAGCTTAGCACCATCCTTAATGCCCTCCGCTTCTCCCCCCTGTCTGGAACAACCCCCTCCGTCTTCTCTCGGAGACTCCCAGCAGTCAGACAAGCACAGACCACCACCACCACGAGGGGCAGGATGAAGCCTACCAGCTCTGCTATTATCAAAAGGACCCAGACGGCTGAAGGACTGATGGTCCTCAAAGGCAACTCTGCAAAACAGTATTGGGAATCATTTGAATTGCTGTCTGAACTGAGGTTCCTCATCAGAGGAAAAATCAGGCAGCCCAAACAGACCAGAAACCAGCCCGTCACACATATGAAAATGTCTCCTTTTTGCTTTGAGGAGTTGTATCTCAGAGGGCGCATGATGAGCTGGCAGCGGCGCACACTGATCCATCCCAGGAAGTAGATGGATGCATACATGTTTACAAATTTCAGGTAGAAGCAAATCAGGCAGAGGAGGTGACTGAAGGGCCAGGTGCCATTCAGGTAATAGTAGATCCGCAGAGGAAGAGACAACACCTGAGGAGAGAGAGAGCAAGTCAGAAAGACTGCAGGAGAACAATAAACATCCACAATTTTTCTAAATTAGTTTATTGTTACTTTGATGGACTGGCTCTCTGTCCAGGGTGTACCCCGTCTGATTGCCCATTGCCTGCTGGAGATAGGCAACCCCACCCCCCGCCACCCTATGTGGACAAGCGGGTTCAGACGATGGATAGTTTATTGTTAATCATCATTTAGAAAGGGTAGAATGCCTTCTTCTCCAGGTCAGGGATGAGGTCCTGCCCAGGTGGAGGAGTTTAAGCATCATCTTGTTCACGAGTGACGGAAAGATGGAGCGTGAGATTGACAGGTGGATTGGTGCTGCGTCTGCAGCGGTGCGGGCGCTGCACCGGTCTGTCGTGGTGAAGAGAGAGCACACGTCATGAGCACATCTCCGAGCATGTGGGTGAGGAAAAAGAGCGTGGAGACATCGGTGGTGTCTCCATTTTTAAACGAACGCGGCCTGAGCAGTCTTGCTTTGGAGACTCTGATTTTGCATCCTGCTTTGCTGTCCAAGTCCAAGGCTACCTAAACCTAAACACCCCCAACTCGGTCCAGGCTTGTATTCCATCCGAGCTGGTGCTGGTGTGTAAGTGCCATTAGTTGACTGGGTCCTAATGGTTTCTTCCATCTGCGGTTGGAATGTGTTGTTATTGTTTTTATGAAACACATTATTACTTTTATCTATTAAAAGTGCTGAGTAAATAAATCTCCATCCTCTTCTACGGGTGAGGTTCTGAGTGAGTCCTTACTTTGACCTGTCAGCTGTATTTAGGTACATCAGCACTATTTAGTTTCTTCAAAAATATAAACATTCCAGACATGGTAAATAAAAATCCAAGCAGCATAGTAATATAGTTTGTTACTCACCTGATTGCAAATAGTTGGACCAACTCCACGGAACAAATGCAAATCTCACTGTTTGCATATATTTGTGCAACCATGTGTGAGTCTTCTGCTACTGTAAACACTCCAAATGTAAATAAAAGCCATCCATCCGCTTTTTAGTCAGATTTTCATTTGCTTTTATGAGCCATTTGAGAGTGTCCCCTATTGTGATGTCACAGTAAACACAATTAGCATAATCTCACCTCCCACTCCCATCTTTTGCCCCCTTAGGGAGGCTTATGCCAGTAATGTGGAGCAGCAACTCTACTCTGAGCCCCTCTCGATACCAGAGCTCCTGAACCCATCGCAGCCAATCAGAGGGTGGGTGGGCGTGGCCAGCAATCACTTATTTGCATTAAAGGGATAAGAGCACTGAAAGGGTTAGTTCTGGAAGGTATGGAAGTTGTCTAGAATAAAACCGCAGAAATCACATAAACCTGTTATAACTTGTTTTAAAATATAACATATAAGAATTGCTAATATGGTGGTTAACTAAATAAGAAAGTGGGATTTTTGATTACCAAACAAATTAAAGTTAAAACAAGATTTTAAATGTTAGCTATGATTATTTTTGCTTTTTAATCGATTTATATGCCTGTCTGTGACATCTGGTATTTCCCTGGGGTCATTCCCCAAATAAGTCAAATAATTTTAGATAAATTGCAACTAAGCAGCTAACATTATTACCGTCACACTTAATGAATACTTAGTGTTCTTATTGAAGTTAGATTTGCTTCACTCACACCTCTCTATCCTGTATTTCCCCTGAGCAAGTGACATCATCTCTTGAGGTTAAAAATTCAACCACGTTATGTTGTTTATACCAGTTCCACGCTCTGGTGAAGCCCTGGCTGTGAACACTCTGAAGTCAAGCGTTGCCGCTTAAACCCTTTAAAACATTTTCTGTGATGCAAAAGCAGATTATTTTTTTACCTGCAGCAGGTCAGCCACAGCAAGATTCATCATGAACACCACAGCCTTCTTGGTTTCTCTGACATAGATTCTGAACACCCAGAGCGCTAAGACGTTTCCGAGCAGGCCTGGTGCTAAAATCACGCTGTACACCACCGCGTAGACGTGGTGCTGGTAACTCTTCAGGCTAGCATCATGACAGCTGGAATTGTTCATCCTAAAGCTGAGAGGTAGCTCGCCGCCCCACAGGTCTGCTGCAGGGGTTTCTATCAGGAAAGCTGCTTGTAGTTTGCTGTTTGAGCCTCCATCATGGAGAGAAGACGTTTGTGCTGCAGCATCACAGATGTGGAGGAGTGCCTCACGCGGGTATCCTGGCTGTCAGATCTTCAGGTGAGAACATGGTCAGCTCTGGTGGAAAACATCGGAAAGTGAGAATTTAAAGACAAAAACAGCAAAGTTTGTCAGAAAAAGTTGGCTGAAGCTAAATGTTTCACCTCAGCTGTTTCCTGTGCCATTCTAACAGGTAACTATTGGAATGAAGGGAAGTAACTCCTGGCACCAAAATTCTGTTTTTGTGACTCTGGCAGACCGTCCCTTCCTCAGAACAAAGGAGGAAACATACAATGTGTGTGTGTGTGTGTGTGTGTGTGTGTGTGTGTGTGTGTGTGTGTGTGTGTGTGTGTGTGTGTGTGTGTGTGTGTGTGTGTGTGTGTGTATTAGTAATGTTTGAGAGCATGTTTTGCATGTAATCCAGGAAGCTGTCAGGCTGCAAATAAAGAACCTTTCAATGATCCACTCCCTCATTATCTATCATGCAAACTCAAGTCTACACACACACACACACACACACACACACGTTTTCTACATTTCTTGAATCCTAACGATTGATGCATTATCTGTGTTCACAGGCCCCCACACCCCCCGCTGGACCCCTACCCTGCCTTTTCCCAGAAGTGTGCTGCTTCACAGTGTTGACTGCAAAGCACCTGCACACCAGCCCACAGCTTTGCATCAGCGTTCGTGAATCTAGCGTGGTTAGCCTACCAAGTGTCGAGGGGGCAGTTAACAGTTCAAACAGATCCGTGATCAGAAAGTGTCTCTAGTTATAAAGAACATCCGCCTTTACCTTTGTGTTTTAACACCTTCATGCTGCAAAATGCCTCCTTCAACAGCAACACCAAGCAACAGAAAGCAAAAGTAAAATGAGACATTTATATGAATGCTAATCGGTTTCAAAGTTCACAAACTTATAGATCTGCTTTCGTGTTTGCACAACATGATTTGAGCTTGAAAATTGTGTGTGTGTGTGTGTGTGTGTGTGTGTGTGTGTGTGTGTGTGTGTGTGTGTGTGTGTGTGTGTGTGTGTGTGTGTGTGTGTGTGTGTGTGTGTGTAGTAGAAGGTAAGAAGCTGACACGTGCAAACTTATAAAGGTAAATGTGTAGAAAAACTCACATGCATGAAACAAAAAAAGTTGCGTATAACATTTTCAGCTACATGTTTGTGAACACAAGTCTACAGATCTGTTCCTACGCAGGCTCAACTCCTCTCTTACAGGTGTACAGTCCACACGGGTGCGTTTTAAACTGTTTTGCAGGTTGTTTGTAACAAAACCCAGCTGAACCACGAGAGTGGAGCGGGGGGAGGAGGGGGGAGGGCGGGGAACAGAATCAACCAATCAGTCAGCGCTATGCAAAACACTCCAGCTAGGTTCCTTTTCAGTGACTTTGTAACCTTCATTTAACTAATTTCATCTTGTTTATAGTTTAATAAAGTGACACTGACACGGCAGAGCATCACGCTATTTATACCATTATGCTCTGGCTAATGCTAACACAGATTACAGCCTATGATAGTCCCACTTTTAGAATCTCAGTAAATGAGATTAGTACATGAAATCAATGAAACAAGGATTATAAATAGAGAAATGTCCAATCTCTAAAAAATGATTATCTTACATAGTTGCCAAGGGTCAAATTCAATCTCCAAATGTGAAATAAATAAATATCCATCCATTGTCTGAACCCGCTTTCTCCACATGGGGTCGCGGGGGGCTGGTGCCTATCTCCATCCGTCAACGGGCAATCAGGCGGGGTACACCCTGGACAGAGAGCCTGTCCATCGCAGGGCAACACAGACACACACAGGACAAACAATCACACACACACACACACACACACACACACACACACACACACACACACACACACACACACACACACACACACACACACACACACACACACACACACACACACCTAAGGACAATTTAGACAGACCAATCAACCCAACAGTCATGATTTTGGACTGTGGGAGGAAGCCGGAGAGCCCGGAGAGAACCCACGCATGCACAGGGAGAACATGCTAACTCCATGCAGAAAGATCCCAGGCTGGGAAGTGAACCCAGGACCTTCTTGCTGCAAGACAACAGCTCTAACCACTGCGCAGCCCCATATAAATAAATAAATAAATAAACAAACAGGTAACTGACTAAAATCGCAATTCCTCTCTTATCTCCAGAAAGTACAGGAGTTTAAATATCTCAGGGTCTTGTTCACGAGTGAGGGTAGGAGGGAGAACGAGATCTCGGATACAAGCGGCCGAAATGAGTTTCCTCCGTAGGGTGGCCGGGCTCAGCCTTAGAGAGAGGGTGAGGAGCTCGGACATTCGGGAGGGACTCGGAGTAGAACCGCTGCTCCTCCGGATCAAAAGGAGCCAGTTGAGGTGGTTTGGGCGTCTGGTCAGGATGCCTCCTGGACGCCTCCCTGGGGAGGTGTTTCGGGCATGTCCTGCCGGCAGGAGGCCCCCGGGTCGACCCAGGACACGTTGGAGAGGTTACATCTCCAATCTGGTCCGGGAACGCCTTGGGGTCCTGCCGGAGGAGCTGGTGGAGGTGGCCGGGGAGAGGACGGTCTGGAGCTCCCTAGTTGGGATGCTGCCCCCGTGACCCGGACCCGGATAAGCAGAGGAAGACGGCGACGGTGACGATCTCCAGAAAGGAACAAGTTCCCAATAAAAATGCCCACTTCACAGCAAAAATACACAAGTTTACATCATGGTACAAAAAAAAATTTAGGTTTAATTTGTCAAGTTTAACATCATAATCATGATAATCATGAATTGTTTTTGTAACTCATCCATTTCAATGCAATTAAATTTTGTTTATTGATTGTTACGGGTGTGTCTTTTAGATGGACAGGTAACAGATGAGGTGTCAAAGCTTGCTCTAGGGAGATGGCTCCAGCTTGCTCCGGGGACGGCCTGTTACAGCCTAGAAGGCAGAGGGTAGCAGAGTGGCTTAATCATGGTTTTCTGGCTGAACATGATTGCCAACCTCTGTTACTCCTACTTCACACTGGAAGCATCAGCGGCATGCAGGCACATGCGGGGGGCTTTTTCCAGTCTTCCTTCAGATTTTACCGTCCAAATGGTCAAGCAAGTCATTGACTGGAGGGTTATCACTGGTTTTGGTTCAAGCTTTTCTGGCTTTCTGTTGAATCTGTTTAAAAGTTTTGCTCTGTGCCCCTTTTTTAACTTTGATCGCCCACCCCTTGAAATGTCTCTGCACGGCCCTGGCGTCGCGGAATATTTTACATGACTTTATTTTTTTTTTAAGTCGACAGTCAAGTAATGAAAGTCGAGTCGACTTCGACTAGTCGTTGATGACGTCATACACCTGAAGCGGCGGCGGGGGGGGGGGGGGGGGGGGGGGGGTCGGTAGGTTCGCTGGAGTTCTTGACAATTAAAATTGTGCCCATATTTTCTAAGTTAACACATCTCTTTTAACAACGGTAGTTTCTGCATCCTACTTCAGCCCTCTCCCCCCTCCCCCTGCGCAGCGGCCGCAAACTGATGCGCCTGCAGCCTCTCAGAGTTCCTGCTGCTCTAAACATTAAAATAATTATTTCATTTTCTATTCCTCACTTCTGATTACCTTCAGTGGTGTCCGTTTGTTGCAACCAGCAGGTACAAAAACTAATTTGTTTTTATTTGACTATTTTTCTGTCCTGTCTGTTTATTATCTTCCTGCATCTCCTCTCAATCCTAAAGAGAAACTGCTACCTGGGTTCATATATATTCACCTCATGAGTTACCTTTGAACTGCAGTTCTAAAAGATCTACCGACCGCAAAAACAGCGGAGTGCCGCTGCTCGCCGGACGACTACAACGGGGCCGTTTTTGCTGCGGAGTTCGTGCCGGAGCGGAGCGGAGATAGTGGAATCTTGGGGGTGCGTCACCGGAGGACAAAACAGGTGATGCGCCTCGCTCCGCAGCAGCGAAACGCATCAGGCACAAATAACAGACAGAAAACATGAAAGGAAATAAGCCGACATGAACGATCGCGTGTTTAATTTGTTTTTGAGGTGGTGACACCTGATTTGGCGGTGCTCAGGACGCAGATGGAGCGCGTCAACGATCAGAGCTTTGCATGTGCAAACTGGTTAAGATTAGGATGGGGGTGAGGGGAAGCTAACATTGCAAGAGGGAAGAGGTCACAGTTTGGTTAAATGTCCGTTTTACCGCCGGTGTCAGTACCCACGCTCTGGCACAGCGCGTCGCCTCCGCCTCCCGACGCAGGGGCTCATCACCTGCTGGAGGACTGCATCTTGTCAGTCATTATCACGTGACAGCGACTAGTCGATGACTGGCATAAAAAGTCACTACAGAGCCGTGAAGTCGACTAGTCGACTAGTTCATGCAACCCCTAGTACACATCAGGAGAATCTCAGCCACGGAGGGGCTTCTCCACTGAGTATATAAGCCTTAAGATCACATGTTTGACATAAACTACAAAGATATGAAATCGCATTGTAGTAATAGTCTTTCATTTAGAAAAAAAACAGGAGGTTTTACACTGAAACTGTGTGTGATTTCCTGTCTATGCTAACTCTAGAAATTGACCTGTCCCTGAAGTGGCTCGGGAACAAATAGAACCTCATCCTGACTTTAGCGGCCCGGCGAGCCACTTCTGGGACATGCCAGACAATTTCTGTGTTGTGGCTGATATCACCTTTTGTACATTCATTTTGTGTGTTTCATCCAACTGTATTATGGCTTCTCCACGGCACTGACATGTCTTGTCAGAGGCTTTCGTGCGATATTATTTTGGGAGCAGGTTCTCCTCCAGTAATATAATGTCAGCCTTGCGTTTGAACCAGCTTGGCTCCGGGCGTTAATGACAACCACTGGTTTGCTAGCAAGAGAGGAAGCTCGTCTTTTAATGTGAGAGGAGAAGAAGAGTGCAGCGCATGAAGGGCGTAGCGGAAGTGGGGTTTTTTACACCTACACTCATTTTCGCTGTACGCAGGAATTTCCCGCATTATAAAGACCAAATTTGGGAGAATCGTTTATATAATGTGCAATACCCATAATCCCGCTGTGAATTTAAGGCCCTGTTTTTAACACAGAAAAAGTGTTATTTCTACCTTGTTTTTGCTGATGTTTGACTATCACTGTGGCCTTCTTCAGAGTTTTGGGGATCAGCCCCACCGCCGGAGGTGGCGCTGATACCAGCGATGACCCGAATCCTTCGGACTCTCGAAGCGGTAGCGTCAGTGACGTCAGCAACAAACAGAGCATGGGAGAATATCCCTCCAAAAGTAGAAGAAAAGATTGTTTCTATAGCGCCTGTCAAGATAAAAATCACGAGTCGCTTCACACAAACAAAAAATGTCAAATATTAAAAATTATTTAGAAAACGATTAAAAATATATTTAAAATGAGCCAAAAGAAAAGAAGCTGTGTAGTGGCGCAGTGGTTAGAGCCGTTGCCTTGCAGCAAGAAGGTCCTGGGTTCACTTCCCGGCCTGGGATCTTTCTGCATGGAGTTAGCATGTTCTCCCGGTGCATGCGTGGGTTCTCTCCGGGTTCTCCGGCTTCCTCCCACAGTCCAAAAAACATGACTGTTAGGTTGATTGGTCTGTCTAAATTGTCCTTAGGTGTGTGTGTGTGTGTGTGTGTGTGTGTGTGTGTGTGTGTGTGTGTGTGTGTGTGTGTGTGTGTGTGTTGCCCTGCGATGGACTAGCTCTCTGTCCAGACTGCACCCCGCCTGATTGCCCACCATTTGTTGAAATAACAAGCAATTTGAGAATTAGCTTCTGAGAAATATTTTGATAAAACCCTCAAACACGTCAAATTGTGATTTGCCAAATTTATCAACATTGTGATTTAATAAAACAAGAACCTATTTTTCTTCCCCGTCCACATCCCATAATGTATCAGAACCCGAAGAGCATCTGGAACATATATTTAAAAGACTTTATGCAAACCCCACTGACACGCTCATTTCCACCTGTTTTTGATGCTACGCCATCATAGTTTAAAATACATGAACTGCACGGAGGTTTGTCCACTGAAGTCATCACCTGACCAGACCTGTTGGAAGTTTGCCAATCACCATCTGGATGATCCAGAGGAGGCATGGGAGAAAGTCTTGTTGTCAGATGAGACCAAAATAAAACTTTTTGGTCTAAACTTCACTCGCCATGTTTGGAGGAAGAAGATGGAGGAGTTGCATGCCAAGAACACCATCTCTACTGTGAAGCATGGAGGTGGAAACATCATGATTTGGGGTGCTTTACTGCCAAAGGGACAGGATGGCTGCACGGTATGAATGGGGCCATGAGCAACAAGCTCCTGAAGGGAGCATTTAAGATGGGTCATGGCTGGGTCTTCCAACATGACAATGACCCGAAGCGCACAGCTAGGATAACCAGAGTGGCTTTGTAACGCCGGGGACACACCAGCCGTGGAAGCGCCGCGAAAATGGGACCGCCTTCATTCGGCGCCCTTGTTAAGCTATTCTATAGACCACATGGGCCGCCGAAGCGCCGCGAATCGCCTCGCGCCGGCGCTCCAGCCCGCTCCGTGCAGCGATCATTTCGGCGTCGGCTCTATTTTTTTCGCGAGCCGTGGGTGAATCGCGTCAATTCTGGCAGGAAGTCAAACCTAGACATACTGTAAGAGGCAGAGTTAACAAAATAAAGCATTTCAAAATAAAATTCCGCAATAGTCAAATGTGTTCGTAAACAGACACTGCAGAAAAACCACACGAACACGCACACACATACACACACATCGAACTTGTGTGCGTGTGTGACCACGTGAAGGGGGTGTGGTTTTGGGTGTCTTTTCACCGGAGCAAACAGGACAGAGAGGCAGAAAGTCTGAGGCAAGCAGCTAAGATGGATGACTGCTAGGATACAGCTGCAGAATTGGAGCGGGTTCCAAGAGATTCAATTGGCAGAAACAACTCATGCCATAGGTTCACACACACACACGCACACGCACACACACGTACAAACACTCAAACGTAGAGGAAAAGAGCTGAGAAAAGGCAGAAAGGAAATGGAGGACACCAAGTGTTTAAAAGAAAAACTACAGCTGAGCCGAGGCGCGCCTCGACTGGGGCGCGTCTGATCTGAACTGAGCAGCGGCCGAATTTCGTGAGCGATTCGTTTCTCGGCGCTTCGCGGCGCTTCCGCGGCCGGTGTGTCCCCGGCGTAAGAGGCATTTCAAGTTTCAAGAGTGACCTAGGCAGTCTCCAGACTTAAATCCAATAAAGAATATTTGGAAGAAGCTAAAACTCAGTAGGAATGCACCTACAATGTAAATGTCAGACCCCTCCATGGGAAAACACGCAAAAAGGCAGGGTGTTCAAACACTTATGTTCCTCGCTGTATGATCGGTCACTTCACGCAGTTCACACGCATGCTGAATGTGAAAATACTCTTCAATCCTCATCAGCAGCATAAGCTGTCGAAGCAACAACACGATAAAATGATCGAGTCAGTAAAAGCCGTCTCATCTTTGTGGTCCATCTTGGACTGCAACCAAAGAAGGCTGCGTTGACTTGCAGCCGGGAGAAACCGCAGCATGTCTCACCTTGAAGCTAACTGTTAGCATCAACAATCCCACACCATGGCGGAACTTCTTCAGGCTCGTGTTTTTCATGGGGATAAAACAATTTAGCATTTTTTTTTACCCAAGAACGAAGAGGGAATGAAGGCAGCAGAAGAGTGAAGTTGCTGTTAGCCAATCAGAAGCGATGCATTTCTTTAATATGAATATTAATGAGCAAGACTCTTTATGCTGCCGTTTTCTGCTCCCCACTCCCTGGACTACCTTCTACCCCCTGAAACAGGAGCGCCAGAGCTTTTTCTTCACAGAAAACAACTCTTTCATTCATACTAGAGAACACAGCACATGCATGTGATCTTTAAAGGAGACATGCTATGACTTTAGTTAAGAGACAGGTCTTTATTCAATTGTAATTTTATAATTTTACTTGAGCTATTGAGAAAAAAACTGTAAGAGAGACTCATTTTAAAAGATTCAAACTCTGTATTTCAGGCTAGCCACCTCCAAAGTGTTCCAACCCAGGACTCAAAGGGGGTGAAATGATTAACTGGAGGGAACAAGAACGTAAGCAGCAAGGCCACACGAGTTTCACTCCTTTTATAGGAGGTAGTTGGAGGTTAGAGATGATAGGAGGGGAGCTCAGTGGGGAACAACAAGCTTTTCCTTTAGCTAATGCTAACAGATATACCTCTAAGGTATAGCTGATTGTTTTAGTTCGATTAATCCTAAAATGTTTTTACAGACGTCATTAAAAACGTCTCACAAGCAAGCCTCTCGCCTATCAATACGCATGTTGGGGGAACAGGATGCAAAAGAAAGATAACTAATGGGAATTGGCTGAGTATGAACTGTCTTCCATCTCTCTGACAGGTTTTAAACACTGCAGAGGTCACCAAGTTCTCCCAGTAGACTCCCAGGCCTGAGAACTGGTTTCATTCCTCTGACCTCTGTGTTACTCTCCCTTTTACACACACCATCTGCCCCCGTTACAGGCTGCCCATTACCAGTCCGCTTTCATTTCCTCCGTGCTGACTGTGGATTTGCATGCAGCCCGTCAGAGCGAGTATTTCTCTGACAAACAGACGTTATCAGCGCAAAAGTGAAACTTGTAGCTTGATCTTTTGACAAATACGAGAAGAAGTGAAGAGCTGAGGCTGGAATGATGAGCTGAGTTGTATTTATGTAAATGTCAGAGGAGAGTTTTTTACTTTTGTTTCAAGAGGGTTTTAGGATGATCTTCTCCAGCGGAAACATGATTCAGTCTGCCATGAGTCACCTCTCTGTGGGATGCTGGGGTGTAGCACCTTTTCCATTTTCTATCTGGTCTAATGGCACCCAGGAAGCCGGTGGAGATCACCCAGCTCCCTCCACGTGTGTGTTGTCGTTCCAGCAAGCAAAACGTGCCACCCAAAAGCCCTCTTCACACACACATGAAGAAATATCCGGACACACACACACACACACTCGTCACACTGGAGCAACAAACGAGGTCCCCCCATGAGGAATGACTCTACACTTGAAGCATCCAGCTCTTCAGACTTTCACTCAAAGTTGTCCTGAAACATTTAGAATAGGGTTAGATTATTCTCACCTCTGTATGGAACCTTCTCGGCGTCGTAGCATCCTAAAGCAGCAACAGAAAAAGCTTCAACCAACACACGCCATCCTCATCTTGCCCTTCTTCAACTTTTCATCCACCGCTTCTCTTTGTTGAGCTGCTTTCTCTCACTCAATTCTCACGAAAATCCCCAATCTTCCTTCCTGTTCTGTTCATCTCTCAATTTAGTGTCATTCACTTGTTGCTGATGTCTCTCCCTGAGAGGCTCTGAGCTGAAATGGTGGTTTCAGTTCACACACACACACACACACACACACACACACACACACACACACACACACACACACACACACACACACACACACACACACACACACTGAGCTTCCTGTGAGTACAGTAGGTGTGGTTTGCATTTTTTAACACCAATAATGTTGCTTTTACACTTTCTGTAGTTTATTTTTCACCAAGAATAGACAATAATATCTCAACATTTTTCTAAATACATGAACAGTTCTTATCTTAGGTGACGACATGAATAAAAGTACTGTAAAAGAGAGTCAAGAGGGAGGGTTATACGGTAGATTTTGTGGGCTGAGCTCGTTTCCCTGCTTGGGTGTCTGAGAAAAGGCAGGTGGGTGGCAGTTATCGCTGTTAGAGCATCGATCTGTTGGCAGCGCGAGAGGAAGTTCAGAAGGAACACGTTGGTACCTTGTGTCATCTGTTGTCTCACCTAGGAAAACGCAACAAAACACTGACCTCAAGCACACATCTGTGATAACCAAATGAGAAGATGAGGCAGAAAACATGAATTTTATTTACAGTGAAGAACGAGGAACTGACACACAGCTTAAGTGAGTTAGCTTATTTAAAGTCGTGCACGAGACACGCAGACTTAGAGAAACGTTTCCACACATTAGTCGTCATGAGGAAACATCATTTTTACTCACATGACTTCCTGTTGAACAGAAAGGCCAGGCCTCGTTTAAAATCTGCTTCAGAGTCGAACCATTTTCTCTAACCCAGAACCAAGACAGCAACTATCCAATCACGTTGCAGTGATGTCATACATCTCATACCATCGGTATCGGTTTACATTTCTGTAGACTTATGTTTTAAAAATAAATATAAAACAAATACATCCAAATCAGCCGCTTATCTGTAAAAAACAAATACAATTGTAAAAATGCCTCCACCTTAGACATGCTAAAATGATTTAAAGACGGTACGTTTTGGTTAGGGATGCACCGATGGATCGGCATTTGATCGTAATCGGCCGATAGCGCCCCTATCGGTTTTGATCGGAATTTTCAAAATAGATCAGAGCAAACCGATCAGGTAGGGTTGTCACGGTAACCAGTGTAGCGCTAAACCCCGGTAAAAAAAAAAGAAAAGAAAAAAAGTTGACAATAATAACCGTCTTGTTTTTAAAAAAACTATATTATCTCGGTGGATTACCGTGGCTGCGGTGTAGGCGCGGTCACCCTTACCAGCCACCGTATCATCTGCTGAAGTTGCCGGCGGCACATGCGCACTTTGTTGTTTACAACAAAACTTTCTTGAAGCTAAAGCTGAAATAATGGTCAAAGGAGGAGACGGCAGCGCTCAGGAGGACATTTATTATCCCTCAAAGAAGACAAAGTCGGAAGTACGGGCATCTTTTAGATATTTGAAGAATGCCGAGGGAGTTTATGGAAGACGGACGGCTATCCTGTTTGCAGCACGAGCAGAAAAAGTGTCTGTGAAAGGCAGCAACGCTTCAAATCTCATGACACATCTGCGTGACCATCACCCACAACTCTACAGTCAACGCAAGGCAAGCTAACGTTAGCGTTTTAGCTAAAATGCGTGATCCGAGGATTTGGGTTGAGGGAGAATGCAACGAGTCGCTATATAAAGCAGCCGCAGCGCCGCTACCTGCATATAAACCGTGTCGCGGACACCGCCATGTTGAAATGACGCTATGCATTACGGGGCTCCCAGGGGCAGATAAGAGTTGGTCTCTCTCCGAGAATAATTATGAATTTAACAATGATTACTGCCTGATGACATTTTCCCACATCTGCAAAACTCACTGGAAGAACACAAACCGAGTAAAATATTTTCCTGATATAGGGTTTATTACTCAAGTAAGGGTAAAAAAGTATCTGATTAGAAGGCTACTTGAGTACTGAGTATCATCTGATCTAATATTTTTAAAATGATGACATCAAACAGACATAAAATAAGAAGTTATGGGCAAATATTGGTATTTTAAAGACTGAAGGGGAAAATGTAAACAAATAAACAACTTAATTACAAAATAACACATTTTAGGCAAAATTTAGACACAAACTGAGGACAATATTTCCTGACATACAGGGTTTATTTAATTGTGTGAAAATGTAGCATGTTTAAAAAAAATACCGCGATAATACCGAAAACCGTGGTAATTTTGGTCACAATAACCGTGAGGTTAAATTTTCACACCGTGACAACCCTAACCCCCAAATTCCACTACCTCCGCTCCGCTCCGACACGAACGCCGGAGCAAAATCGGTCCCGTTGTAGTCAATCAGAGCAATTCCACTACTGCGGCCGTGTTCCGGCGTCCGGCAAAAATAGAATCGATCCTATTTTCGCCGGACGCCGGAGCACCTCCGCAGTAAATGGACAGAAATCACAACGGCCCAACAGGAAAAGGAGCGAGCACAATTTCCGTTTTTCACAATAAATCGATAAACAAAAGGCGTTTTTTGTTTCATATGCACAGGTTTAACAACTTTTAACAACTATCAATGGCGGCTGAAGTTTAAATGCACAAAAGTAAGCCATAAATACAGTTTCCACTATCAAAGTAGTCACACTTTGTTGATCCAAACACTGCTGATCTGTCAACACAAATGATGGGCAGATTAAACAGCTCATGCCGATGCTTCTCCCACACAACGGGTGTTTGGATCTAACTTCCGCGTTTACTGCTCGGACTGTATCGCAAGATCTCGAAAATCCCACGCATGCTTGTTTGCCCCCCTCAGGTCTCCGCACCGGAGCGGAGCCGTTGTAGAGCGGGTAGCAGTAAAAATTGAGTTCGGAAGCAAGTGGCTGCGGAAGGCGGGGGCGGACCGGAGCGGAGCGGAGGTAGTGGGATTTGGGGGTCATACAGACCATTTTAGATTAGGTTACATTTCCTTTATTCCCAGATTATGTAGTTTGTAGCACTCATTATAATGTTGTAGAAAATTTCTGGCCAATGAACGTGATCGGTATCGGTGATCGGTATCGGTGATCAGCATTCTTTGATATCGGTATCGGTGATCGGCAGCAAAAAACCTGATCGGTGCATCCCTAGTTTTGGTCACATATGCCAAACTCTGGCCTATATGATTATATAATATGTGTTGTGACCAGCCTGCTGGTCTGCTATACAAACCGCTCAAAAACAACAAGTCCCAGAATGCCTGAAGACAGGCAGCGCTGTGATGAGGCGTCGGCTATGAGTAGTACTGTAAAAAAGAACTAAACGGTTTACTTTGCATCTCACAGACAGGACTTTATGGTGAGTCTAGATACCTTCTGTTCTAAGACCCGTGAGATTACATGTGGTGTGCCCCAGGGTTCGATTTTAGGCTCAGTGCTTTTTAATCTGTATATGCTTCCACTTGGTGGTGTCATCGGGTGACACAGAGTAAAATTTCACAGTTATGCAGATGTGTCTCCCGATGACGCACGACCATTGTTTTTCACAGTAAATGGTGTTTTTCTGTGACAATGAACTATTGTACTACCAGACGATATTAGAAGTACATTTTACAAAGAGAACTTGTATAGTTGCAAGATGGCTGTTCCTTTTCAGCAGAACTCATAAAAAATGTGTTTTATGATTATTTATGTAAAGATGAACAGTAAATGTGCAACTCTACGCAGATCGACCACTTCTGGGATTCAAACCTGCAGCCTTCTAACCCCGGCTTTCCACCGGAGCCGTCAGCAGCACGTTACTGCAGCAGCACGTCATGGCTGCTGATAGGAACCGCTGTGGTCAACAGAACCTTTTCCACCGGAGCCGTCAGCGGCGCGAGTCGGCCGCGTCTCAGGAGCAGCATGTCGCGGCCTTTACGCGCCGGTTCTATTTCCTACGCGCGACGCCTCTGAAACGGGTCAGGTTCGACATTTTTGGGGAATGAAAGACAGGAAATCGGACGCGGAAATGGAGAGAAGCTCCCGATATTTTCAGAATAAAGAACGTCCTGCCTTCCGGTCGCTTTACTTTAAAAAATGTTACTAACTGTGCGTCCCCGTGAGAAGTTATCAGCTAGCTAGCGGTCTCCTTTGTTTTTCAGGTCCGTATTGGCGATTATAAAACGGACAGAACATAAAACACAAACCATGTTGTAGTTTTCTCCTGCTTGTTGTTGTGTTTACTGACGAAGTCACTCGTGTGACTTCGTGCTCGGTCGGTGACAGCTGCTCCCCTGCTGCTTCGCGTCTCGTGGGAAGGGCCAAGCAGCAGCTTACGCGAGCAAGACGTGCTGCTGCAGTAACGTGCTGCTGACGGCTCCCGTGGAAACCCGGGGTTAGGACAAGTCAGCAGGGCTGCCACCTGCATGGCCTTGCAACGTTTTCAAGCATCTGTGGTAATAATTAGTATTTATCTGACCGGGAAACCCACCCAGCCTACGTAGGTCAAAATAATACTGGGACATCTGCACATGCAACGTTAAAGAACACGTGCCTTTTTTACAAAACCATCATGCATTTGGCTTTTGCATCCTGTGAGTTGATGCTGAATGATACTGACGGAGCTGAAGTGGACTTTTTTCCACGTTTGTGGGGTTTGTGTTTAGCAGAATAGTTGCTGCTATGATCACAACTTCCACCAGGGTTCATGTCAGGTTGAGTCTTTTGGACACGAGCACACATTCAGAACGTTTGCCATCCACAGCATTTGTCTCGTTTATCTCAGTCAACGCCTGAGAAAGAGTCAGCCATCTTCCTTTCTGAGCAGCTGCTCTCTAACCTCAGCAGTCTTGTTTGTGTCGGACACTCTGTCGGAGACCCCAGCGGGGAGGTGAAGACCGAGGAGGTGAAGGAGGAGGTGCGGATCAGGTGCATTCTAAATTCAACATTGACAAAGTAATACAGAAGAGGATTCAGGCAGGAGCTCAGGCTGGCCAAGCACAGAGATACCGGGTGGAACTGCTTCACAGCCAGCCTGGTGGGGCAGTGGCTCACCAGGCTCTGAGACTCCAACGCGTAGAGCAGGAAGTTGATGTGGTACGGGGCGAAGCAGACCAAAAATAGAGTGGCGCAGCTCAGCACCATCCGCAGAGCTCGCCTCTTCTCTCCGTCCATGGGCTTTTCAGGAGATTTATTTGTTTGACCGCTGGAAAGGATCGACTGGAGTCGACTGCGTGTCGTGACGCCGAGCGAGGCGGACTTCTGCTCCGGTTTATGGGTGAGGGACCAGGCGACGCGTATGGAGCAGTAACCAATACACATGAGAGGAATGAAGAAGCCAAACAGCTCGTTGAAAGTCACCATTATGACCACCAGGTGGAGCGACACTTTTCGGATGGGCAGGTCTTTGAAGCAGCTCCCTTTACTGGCGGGGGAGCTGAGCGAGCTGGTGTTAGCACCCAGCAGATGCACAGAAATCTTAGCGGTGTCCGAGGTTAGGTGGGTGGGGGCGATCTGAGTAGAGTCCGTGACATTTGGTGCACTGCTGCTGCTGCTCCGCATCAGAATAAACACAGAGCAGGCCATGCCGACCACAACCCACACGGCCATGCTGATCATCATGTCATAGCGGCGTCTCCAGCGACGGGCAGTAAATGGGCTGAGCAGGAAGACGTACCTCTGCACGCTGATACACATCTAAAAAAGTCAAAGCGTTCTTTTTACAGGTGGAAAAATAAACAGAAGACTTCCTGCTACGTACATTTCGTATTTCACTGGAAAAATCTTACCAGGAAAAATATTGCAGTGTACATGTTGAAGAATTTCAGGTAGAAGCAGAGCAGGCAGATGGCTTTCCCAAAAGGCCACGTGTGTGTGAAGTAATAATAGATCCTGAGGGGCAGGGAGAGGATGTGGAGAAGGTCTGCCAGAGCCAGGTTGATCATGAAAATCACAGCTTTGGTCTTCTTCCTGTGGAGAAAGACCTGGAAACGTTAGCCACTGCTGACACCAACACCGCATGGCTTTAATGGTCTAGTTGGGTACCTGATGTGTCTGCAGAGAACCCAGAGAGCGATGGTGTTGAGCAGCAGCCCGGGGATGAAGAGCAGCAGGTAGAAGTACGTGTAGAGCTTCTCCAAGGTTTCATCAAAGCTCTCTAAATTGTAGCTGCACGAGGTTGTGTTTGGATTCATTTTTGTTTTCCTATAGGCCCTTTTGGCACTTCCCTTGCTCAGTTGGTAATGCTGGGCTGTGGTTGGTTTCAGACCTAAATCAGGAAGAGTAAAGATGGTAAAAATAGTACGCCTCGGATTGGCTTCATCAGGCTTTGACCTGCTGAGTCCCTCCGCGGCCTCTAAGCCTGTCCTGGAAAAACACCGTAAAAGAGGACATTGGCTTTGTGCAAAATCAAATTGAATTTATTTTACTTAGACCTGTTTTATGGTTTAGATCAGTGGTTCCCCAACTTATTTAGCCGCGCACCCCCTTCTATGTCCCGACCATGTTGACGCACCCCCCAGCCCCCACATCAGGGCATGGCTATATATACATATATATATATATATATATATATATATATATATATATATATATATATATATATATATATATATATATATATATAATCAGACGTCAAGCTAAACAGACAGGGTTAAAAAAATATGATCGACCTTTTTCCCCATCACTTTCAATTTAGAAAAATAGTAATTAAAAAGCATTCGATACCATTACAATTTCCTTTGATTTCATTTTAAATAAACATTTAGAGTGCCCAGGTAGCACATAAACAATGCAATTTAACGGTTTTCTTAAAGTAGGAACGTTTAACCTGTGCGGCCAGAGCGCTCTCCTTCCTTCTGCTCTGCGTACACCTGAGCTGATCACCTACTTGTGCGTAATCAAATGTCTATAGGGGACAAGATATAGCCATGATGTTCACTTTTGCCTCAGACCGACTTATTGCTGTTTAATGGTGTGGCTGAATCTGCGATCTGCTGCCACGCGGACTGGAATAACAAATGCTGCAGTAACGTGAGTTGTGGTCAGGTTCGGAGTCACTGGCTGGAGCGGACCCGACTTTAATACGTCATCCCAAAATAGAAGCTAATATCTTAATATGACCTGGAATGAAAAATGTTATAAAACCTCTTAAAAGTTTTTATCACGGAGGAGGCAGCGCTCATTTCTGTCTTCAGTCTGACGGCGCGCCGGAGTTAAAGCAGCGTGCACGCTTATTGAATCTGTGTGTGTGTGTGTGTGTGTGTGTGTGCGTGCGCGCGCGCGCGGCACAGCTCCATGAGCCGCTCCAGTCACCGCGTCTCGTTATTTGGCGCTATTTAAACCAATGTTGTAAAATTCCTTCTGCCCAGCCCAGATGTGCTCACTTGCGCACCCGTGAGCCGTGGTTCAGCCGGAACGCGTCTGACCTCTGACAGACACACTCTGAACTTCAGATCTTCAGCGCGCTGTTAATAGCCTGAATGGGAATCATTTCTTGTTATTTAGTTACATCCACAATGTTCTGTGTGTGAGGTTTACAATGTCAGAACACCTGCATGAGACAGGTGTTCATTACAATCTGCCAGAAGGACTCGCCACCTTCAGATTCCTCCAACACCGTTAAAAATGATCAAATACGGAGCATATCGGCGTGCGCAGGCCAGAGTGCTGAAGCTCGGCGCATTGTTATTATGAAGCTAGGGCACATGCGGAGGACGCATATACTTGTTTTCAATTACATTTATTGTGCCCACTTACGTTTTCTTTGGCCCACCCACAAATGAGTTTCTACGCTAATGGTGACATATGACAGACTTCTCTGAGCTCCGCAGCCATTACACTTTTCACCTCGTGCACCCCCTAGCGGCAGCTCGCGCACCCCCGGGGGTGCGCGCACCACACTTAGGGAATCCCTGGTTTAGAGACACACTTTTTAAATTTCAAAATTTTAGTTAATAATTTTAGGAAATTTGTCAACATTGTTTCATTTACCTTTTAGTTGTTGTTAGTTTTTTTTCATCTTTGTGAGGTATGTCTGAAGAGAAAAAACAATCGGGGTGAAGTGTATTACCCACAGTCCATTGCTGCAGGAGAACATATGTATTTTCTGATTAAAGTAGTTATTTTAGGACAATTAGTTGGTGCTCTAAAATTTTTAGACAAAGCAGCAACGAATCTATAATTATTTCAAATAATTGTTGAAAGTTGGTAAGAAAAATGTTTTATAAAAAGTATCACAGTGACCAGCGTGCCGGCATGCGTTGCGATTGGGTGCGGTCGATGTCCCATTTCGGCAATTACTTTCACACTTGTGTACCACACACTCAAAACCTTACTGCGCACTTTGTCCAACCGCACTTTGCTGAAGATGGCAGGGCGAGTATTGGGACTGGGCCTTAGACCCGCCCCCATGTATTCTAGACCCAATTTTTCTGGTTATTTGTTACAAAGCCGCTAATATTTTTCAGCAACTGGGTATCATTTAATTAATTTTCAACAACATTTCAAAGGGTATTTCCAGAGGTTAATGGTAAAAACTACACATTGTCTCTTCAAAATATAAATATAGGATTGCACAACATAACGTGCATAACAATTGTAAAACGAGTTTTCGCTGTTAGTCGGCTAGAAGTGCACGTTCATGAACGAGAGGCGTTGCTTTAGGCTGTAAATACAGAAGTGGAAACCACTGCTTAGTGCAATACATTTGTCAGCCACTAGATGATGCTGCTGTCAGATAAACAAAAATCCAGATTTCATCTTTAAATTCATTTTAAATGTAACGTGAGGAAATATGGGTTTTCTGTCACAAAGGTGGTGTTGGACTCAGCTGGGTCAAAGCTGGGTCATTGAGAACTTTCACCCACAGATTAAGACCTGAACGCCAGCGAGTCTGGGAGGAAACCATGACATCTGCCATCTGCAGTACCAGAAGAAGGAGTTCTCATGGACAAGTAGTCATAACAAGTCAAAACATAAAGTTTAAACTTCCTTTTCTTGTTTTGAATGTTAAAAGTTTAATCATCAATTTGCTCATTATAAATGTGTTTTAATCAAATGAATGACTATTATGCTTTGGGGTAATTATAAGAGATTTAATGAATCCATTCTTAAATAATGTTGAGAATGTTTGTTACTGACCTTCACACACACTCAAGCACACAAACATTCACACACACCCACACACATCTGCTCACAGTAAACTCCAAAACACATTTGCTGACGCACACGTTTTGCTTTGAGAAGAGAAAGGTTTTTGGTAAGTTTCAGTCTTATGATTTCAGTTTGTGTTGGACAACGAAAGAGAGAGGACCTGAAAACCAAAGGGGGGGCAGAGCCGGTTGGCTCGTTCTTCCCCCCTTTCACGCTGTTTCTGCCAAGCCAGGTAGAATAGCTGAATCGCGACTTCTAACGCAGACTCATTACCGAGTCTTTTGATTTCTGAGTGAATTAACTTAAGAAAGCGCATCGACAAAACGCTCTACCATCCACGTGTACCGAGGGCAACTCTGGACCGGTTCCGTTCGACACCTACGTCTCCCCTGTCAGCCGCCGGTGTCATCTGGATGAACCACAACATCCTCCACGGCCCGGATCCGAAAGAGGGTCCACAAGAGTTCGGTGAGACAGAACACGGTGTTTAGCGTTTGATGCGGTTCTCTGATAAGACCTAAGTTTATCCAAACCATCACTTCACTCAGACACCTGTTCCTTCCTGAAGCAAAATCAGATGCACACACGCATTCATCTCACCTCATGTTCAATTCTCACGACACTTTGCACACACACGCATCCATAACCACATCATATCACTCTCAATCTTCATTCACCGACAGAAGGTCTATTTGAGCAAGAGCAGCATATCAACTGTTAAAGATTGTCCCACAAGTTGCCAATGTTGATTGTTATTTCCTGTTTGTCAATTTCAAAATCATTAGTTTAATTTGAAGAATTAAAACTTTTAATTGTCAAACTGGTTTCCTCATTGAACTGAAACACAGACACACAGATATTATCGTCAGTTTATCGATGAAAACAACCTTTGAGTCTTCTTAACAATATAACTGAGTAAAGACAGTTTCTCCTTACAATATGGCTGAGCCAGCCAAAAATTTCTTTACAAATATGGCTTTACATAAACATACAAAAAAATATTTATTTATACTTTCTGACTCATTTATTAGAGTTCTTTCATTCATCATTTTAGCCCCGTCATTCACAAACTGTTAGGATTACAGCCCAGGGGGCTCATTTATAAAGCTTGCTTACGCACAAAACGGGGTCGGAAAACTGCGTAAGCAACTTTCCACGCAAATTTTGGGATTTATGAAAGAAAACTTGGCGGAAAAATGTGCGCAACTTTAAGCTGACTAAGGACCTGGCTTACACACATGTTGAACATGGAGAGCACCTGCAGCGCTGCTGCTGAGAAGAAACGATTATGAAATCCTGCAGCATTATCACTTGTACCGCTTCGTGTATCTATGACCCGATTGATCATGCACCCTGGCTACTTGTACAGGGGAGATCTCTGTTTGGGTGACTGGTTAGCTCGCGTGACTTTCACCCGAGAGTCTGGGGATTTAATCCCGATCGGACAATTTCTTTTATATCCGCCACAGATCTCTCTGAAGAATTCACAACATTGACGGCTTCAGCAACGCCGTGCCACTCCGTGGATTTTCTCTTATTTGTTTTGCAAAAGCACTTCCTTTCATTTCTCCACCTCACCCACAGGTACCTCAACTTCTGCTTGTGTGAAATAGCGCTTCCTTGATCTGCGGTCGCGATTGAAATGCTGCCACGAGCCGGCTTATTTATATGCATGAGATCCACAAGGCGCTTTGCATTGACCATTTATGGCAGTAAGTGGGCGTGGTGAGGGCGGGATGTGACTAAAAAGCAGCTGAGAAACATTCTCGTTAGTCTCTGATTTATGAAGCGGAGATTGTGTGCAGCTGTGCGTCCTCCATGTTTGATAGATCACACACCTGCTTGGCGTAGGTAAATATGATTTATTTATTTATTTATTTTGCAGGGCTGCACAGTGGCACAGTGGTTAGAGCTGTTGCCTTGCAGCAAGAAGGTCTTGGGTTCGCTTCCCGGCCTGGGATCTTTCTGCATGGAGTTTGCATGTTCTCCCTGTGCATGCGTGGGTTCTCTCCGGGTTCTCCGGCTTCCTCCCACAGTCCAAAAACATGACTGTTAGGTTGACTGGTCTGTCTACGTTGCCCTTAGGTGTGAGTGTGTGTGTGTGTGCATGATTGTTTGTACTGTGAGTCTCTGTGTGGCCCTGCGATGGACTGGCTCTCTGTCCAGGGTGTACCCTGCCTTGTTGCCCATTGACCTCTGGAGATAGGCACCAACCCCCCCGCGACCCTACATGGACAAGTGGGTTCAGAAAAAGGATGGATGGATTTTTTTTGCTGAGCTTCAGTGCGGTTTTAGTTTGGATTCTACGCAATGTTTTATAAATGAGACCCCTGGCCTCTGCTTTTATAGCCTAGAGTCTTTGTATCTTATTGCATCAAGAAACCATGAAAGAACGAGCATCGCTCTGGAGCTGCTGAGTGTGCGAGTCAGGACTAGATCTAGTTCATTTAGACAACATTTCACTAGCTAGTGCTGACCTGTTGTGTTTTGTTTCAGCTCCACGAAGACTGCCCTCGTTTTCGCGTTTTGTTTTTGTAAAAGTGTTCCGTTTCTACTGCCTGCAGTTTTGAGTCCTTCACATCACAAACTGTTCCCTGAAGGTTCAGATTAGACACGTTCTCAGAAAATGACACAATATTAGGTTTGCCTGTTTAAAACTTGAAACTGAAAGCTTAGTGTAAGCCATTGAACCGTGGAGCTGAAGCACATTTCACATGGGGTGTTTCACTCTCGTGGTTGGCAGGTGGTTTTCCACTGACACAGAAACCACATCGGGAAATAAACACCAAACGCGGTTACATCTGTAGTTTAGGATTTCAGTAAAGAGCTGCAGCTGTAGCTACCTGGTTCTAAAGGCCAGAGTTATTGAAACACTTATATCAGGGGTCTGCTTAGCCAATCAGCCGTCTCCATTTAGTGCTATCTTCTGCATCCTCTTCCCTCACGCCGACTGACTTCATGTCCTCTTTCACCGCAATCACAAATCTCCTGTTTGGTCCTCCTCTCAGCTCCAACCTCAGCATCTCATCTCAGTCTCCAAAAGTGAGCGCGTCGCCAGCTTAATTAGCCTATTGTCATTTAATGAAACCGCTTTAAGCGTGAATATGTTATCAGCATAGCTCAACAAGCAGAATCCAGGTTTTAAAATCGTGGAGGGAAAAGGTCAGACCACCTCCAGATCGTCCTGTGAGCTCCTCTTTTTGTTGGTGTTTGGTAAAATGTAAGTCTGACCCAGCTTGTGTGTGTGTGTGTGTGTTAAATTGTGTAAAACTCTATTAGACGGGCTCATAAGATCAGATGTTGATAAAGGCTGCCACAGGAAGCTCAACGGCAGAAAGGAAAGTGTTTCTTCTGCATATCAGAGCAGCATAACCCTTCCTTCTCCCAAGACAGGTCCACGCCCTCCCCTCGCTGCTTCCACAAGAGGAAGACAGGAACACTGACAGTTGGGGTTTCTCCTTGTGTGTTTGTTTTCATACCTGACGTCACTTTTCTTTAAGTTTCTTGTGATCTGAGAAGCCACAAGATTCAATATGACAGAAAATTATGCAGAAATAATCTGCAGACTTTTATTTGCATTAAATCACACGAGAAAACTCTTCTCAAGAGGAAATCGGTGACATTTCTGCATGCAAACAGAACTTAAGTATCTTTAAACATAAATATGTATCAAGCAAAGACTTTAACTGAACAAACATCATCAGCAGCAAACATGAAACCGAAGGTAAACTTCAGACAACAGCAGACCTCTCAGACATCTATAACGGGAACATGTGTCGTTACCTTGTGCTGCTGTTTCCTCCTTAAGTCCACAACATGGTCACCAGCAAACACATGCTCCAAGAAACTTCAGTGGCAACCTCCTTGCTGAGCTGCACAGTAGCAGTCAGCATCACTCCTTCCTGTCCCTCCTGCAAACGTGCACGAGAAAATGTGAGCATGAGAAGTCGGCGTTATCCGCCCTGGTGTGGTTTGTGGCTGCACGGGACGAAAGTGGGTTGAGCTCCGACTTGACTGGCTGTTGGTTATAAAAGCTTGGCCATTTGGGGAAGGGGAAGTTCTTACCTCTCTGTTTCTACCGCCTCATGCGTCACGGAGTCCTTACCGACTGAGTGATGAACCAAATACTGACACCTAACCAGAGGAGTGGTTAGGAACAGCTAGTGTTCGACAGCCTGAACCAAAACAACAGTCTTTCTTACCTTCTGATGATCTTCATATATGTGACAACAAGGGATCCCCACCTTTTGTGAACAGCTGCAGCACTCTGATGCAAAACCAGAAACAAATAATAAATGCACCAACATTTTCTTCCTCTGCAGAAAGCTCCACTTCCTCTTTTTACTGCATAGCAAAAAAAGTAGATTCATATTTTAAGTTTAGGTTTTAGATCTCTGCAAAGTCTGACAAACTGAAGGTTGCTCTGAAAGCTGCGGAGACCTTTAAGACTTCTTTACAAACCTTTGCAGTTTGGTTTCATCTTTGCACGTAAACAAACTTCAGAGTTAGGCTGCAACATTGTACACCTGAAACGACATGTTTTCTCACACATTTCATTAAATGAAGGTCATAGATTTAATAATTTCACATAGAGAAAATAAAAAATGACAAACATTTGAAGCCTTTCTGTCTTTACATGTGTTTAGAGTTAATACGCTGATCAGGGTGTGGCACCATCAGTTTCTAATATTTCACAATATTATCATGTTCTGACTGGGCCACTGAGTTTAGGGTTTTCATTTTGGGTAGCTGGAATATTTCTAAGGTTATAAATATCCTGTCTAGGAGAGATGCTGAAAACTAGTCCATGCATTTGTTACCTCAAGACTGGCTTCCTGCTGTCAGGAAGAATGTAGCTAGTCGCCATTGCTGCACCGCTCATTGCTGTGATGTCAGACTTGATGCAATCTGTGCTTTCTTAGGTAAGAAACGTTTAAAGAAAAAAAAAGACAAGAAAAAAAGGGAAAAAATAAAAAAGAAATAAAAGAAAATAAAGATAAAAAAGTAGGAAACATTTAACTGAAGCAATAACGAACTGAACTCAGTGCACTAAGTAGGTCCAGTTGGACTGTTTTCTTCATGCCTTCAGACGACTCTCGTTGGAGCTTTATAACTAAACTGAAGCGAAAGTAGGATTGAACATGTTGGTTCTGAGAGGTATTTGGGTATCTGGCTTGACATCACACTTTCATTTGGCCTCCACATTAATTTGTTACAAATCATAGTGAAGCCCAGATTTGGGTTTCTACGGGGAGCTTAAGTCACGCCAATCTACTTCCAGACCACGGGTCCCCGGAAGAACGAAAAAAAATGAACGCAAGTCAACGGGGCTAAAAATGCTATTTTCTAATCCCGCTTGTTTTGTGCCATGGATTTCACGTATGATGTCCGTGAATTTTAAACACATTTTGATACCAAGAATGAGCTTATTTTCGAACGGGGGGGGGGGGGGGGGGGGGGGGGGGGGGGGGCACACAATATTTTAGGTTTCGTGCAAAAATAAGTCCAGGACTACAAATGCGCTTCACGAAAGTAACGCCATCGAACCAGACACGGAGAAAACTGAGGGAAAAGGGCTGTAAGTTCAGCAAACTTCTCACAGGAGGAAAGAACCGCCATAAATCCAGTCATGTGGTAAGTAGCAGCTACGCTAGGGGAGAGGGGATTAAGTGGTGACGTCACATATGCAACGTGCTGATTTCTAGTTTGTAGTCATGCTAATTACGAACTTTTACAAGCTAATAAATCTCAAAGTGGTCGAAACACCCATCATTACTTTTCATTAAACTGCAGTACAACATATGCGCGATCCACGGCGTAAGGCAAAGGGGATTAGAAAATAAAGTTTTCAGCCCCGTTGACTTGCATTCATTTTTTCGTTCTGATGCGAAGTGACTTAGGCTCCCTATACCGCAACAGGTCTTTGTTTTCTCGTTTTGAAAAGCAAACCTTGGTCAAAATGGCAATCCTTCCCATCGTAGATTACGGTGACATCATTTATAGAAGTGCTTCCAATAAACTTCTTCTTAAACTCGATGTCATTTATCACTCAGCAATCCGTTTCTTCACTGGTGCCCCTTTCACTACTCATCATTGTGATCTGTGCTCACTTGCTAACTGGCCATCACTCCATTCCCGCAGGTTGTTACATTGGTATCAGTTCATATAGAAAACAATCATCGGTAGAATTCAATTCAATTCAATTCAATTCAAGTTTATAAAGCGCCAAATCACGACAAGAGTCGTCTCAAGGCACTTCACATAATAAACATTCCAATTCACAGTTCATTAAGCCAATCAGAAATAATGTTTCCTATATAAGGAACCCAGCAAATTGCATCAAGTCACTGACTAGTGTCAGTGACTATACATCAATCCTCATACTAAGCAAGCATGCAGCGACAGTGGAGAGGAAAACTCCCTTTTAACAGGAAGAAACCTCCAGAGAATCCTGGCTCAGTATAAGCAGCCATCCTCCACGACTCACTGGGGATGGAGAAGACAGAGCGCACACACACACACACACACACACACACACACACACACACACACACACACACACACACACACACACACACACACACACACACACACACACACACACACACACACAAACACAGACAAGTAATGTGTCTATAGTTACACCGCGATGTCTAAGTAAATATTGCATTTGGTGAAAGATAAACTTTATTGTATTTATCCTAGTGGATCTATAATTAAACGGATAAACTTATATTAGCACATCAAAAGTCAATGAAAACAAAAAGTTATTATCAGGAGAGGGAGAATGTTTAAGTGGTTAGCAGCAGTGTGCTAGACGATGGCCCCCTCCATGAGGCCACCACAGCTCAGCAGAACATCATTGTAGCTTCTTCTGGGGAGAAAAACACTTAGAGAGAAAATAAAGTTAACAGCTGAAATAGCAGGAAATAATACAAATAAAGAGCAGACTGTAGAAGAAAGCAGTAGAGTGTGAAAAGTTGTCAGTGTGTCCTCCAGCAGTCTAAGCCTATGGCAGCATAACTACAGAGTTAACTCTGGATAATCTATCCTATTTAGATGGAGGCATGTTGGAGGCAGGGCAAGGGAGAGCCGTCTTTACCGACTGTACACTCCACCTCCCTGTACTCCCCCACTTGTCCAGATTTAGGCTAACATCAGATTTTAACCATAGGCCCTATCAAATAAAAATGTTTTAAGCCTATTCTTAAAAGTAGACAAAGTGTCTGCCTCACGGACTGAAGCTGGGAGCTGGTTCCACAGGAGAGGAGCCTGATAACTAAAAGATCTGCCTCCCATCCTAAGTTTAGATATTCTTGGAACCACCAGTAGACCTGCAGTCTGAGAGCGAAGTGCTCGGTTAGGAACATATGGAACAATCAGATTACTGATGTATGATGGAGCTTGATTATTAAGAGCTTTATATGTGAGAAGAAGGATCTTAAAATCTATTCTGAATTTAACAGGTAGCCAATGTAGGGAAGCTAAGACAGGAGAGATATGATCTCTCTTTTTAATTCTCATCAGAACTCTAGCTGCAGCATTTTGGACAAGCTGAAGACTTTTAACTACATTCTGTGGGCTTCCTGAGAGTAATGAATTACAGTAATCCAGTCTTGATGTAATAAATGCATGAACTAGTTTTTCAGCATCACTCCTGGAAAGGATGCTTCTAATCTTAGCAATATTCCGAAGGTGGAAAAAGGAAATCCGACAAACTTGTGAAACCTGGGATTTGAATGACATGTCCTGGTCAAAGATAACACCAAGGTTCCTTACTTTGTTCTCGGAGATTAATGTAATGCCATTCAGGTCAGGTGATTGACTAAGCAATTTCCTTTTCTGGATTTCTGGTCCAAAGATGAGAACTTCCATCTTGTCTTGATTTAAAAGCAAGAAGTTTAGAGTCATCCAATTTTTTATGTCCTCAAGACAAGCCTGTAATGTACCTAACCGATTAGGTTCATCAGGGTTAATGGATAAATATAACTGAGTATCGTCAGCATAACAGTGGAAGTTTATCCCATGCTGTCTAATGATTTTACCAATTGGGAGTATAGTCACTGACACTAGTCATAACCCGTCATACCCCTCATTACTCATGACTTCCAACAACCAGCAAAATTTATGTTCCAGTAACTTGATTTCTATGGTTATTCCCAAAGCTCGCACCTCCTTCCAGTTTGCTGCTTCCAACGACTGGAATAACTTTCAAATTTTTCAATTAAATTAAATTTTATTTATATAGCGCCAAATCACGACAAGAGTCGTCTCAAGGCACTTCACATAATAAACATTCCAATTCACAGTTCATTAAGCCAATCAGAAATAATGTTTCAGTACCCAGCAAATTGCATCAAGTCACTGACTAGTGTCAGTGACTATACAGCAATCCTCATACTAAGCAAGCATGCAGCGACAGTGGAGAGAAAAACTTTTAACAGGAAGAAACCTCGAGAGAATCCTGGCTCAGTATAAGCAGCCATCCTCCACGACTCACTGGGGATCGAGAAGACAGATCACACACACACACACACACACACACACACACACACACACACACACACACACACACACACACACGCACGCACGCACGCACGCACACACACACACACACACACACACACACAGACAAGTAATGTGTCTATAGTTGTATTGTGATTTCTTAGTAAATATTCTATTTGGTGAAAGATAAACTTTATTGTATTTATCCTAGTGGATCTATAATTAAACGGGTAAACTAGTAGTAGCACATCCAACGTCAAGGAAAGCAAAAAGTTATTATCAGGAGAGGGAGAATGTTTAAGTGGTTAGCAGCAGTGTGCTAGTTGATGGCCCCCTCCATGAGGCCACCACAGCTCAGCAGAACATCATTGTAGCTTCTTCTGGGGAGAAAAACACTTAGAGAGAAAATAAAGTTAACAGCTGAAATAGCAGGAAATAATACAGTTAAAGAGCAGATTGTAGAAGAAAGCAGTAGAGTGTGAAAAGTGGTCAGTGTGTCCTCCAGCAGTCTAAGCCTATAGCAGCATAACTACAGAGATAACTCTGGACTTTTAGATGGAGGCATGTTGGAGGCAGGGCAAGGGAGAGCCGTCTTTACCGACTGTACACTCCACCTCCCTCTACTCCCCCACTTGTCCAGATCTAACTGAAGCTCCCTACCTACATTCCATTATCTACCTTCAATAATTCATTGCAATCAAGTTTCTGATCAGTGTGCTTCTGAGTACTTAAAGGTTATTTTAAGTCTGTTTTGATTGCTTGTATATATTGTACAACAGTCTGTTCTTATATAAGTTTTGTCCTGTTTGTTTGGATCGTATCTACGTATCTGTTGTTATTCGGTGTAAAGGTAACTACTGCACGTGTCTGTTGCTGCTGCCTCTTGGCCAGGCCGCCGTTGTGTAAATAATTTATGTAATAAATTTGTTTTATTTTTTGAAAATAGCAACAAAAAATATTGAGCTTTTTGACAATATATTTTTGTTGAAATGCACCTGCAGCATGTACATAGCAGACAGAAAAACTCGAAATCATGTACTTTACTTCACGGCCACTAGATGTCAGAAGAGAGCCCGACTCACAGCATCACTCAGACTCTCCTTCAGCTGCAGTTTTCTGTTCATGTGATTCCTACATACTTCAGCTCTCACACTCCTCTTATTCCCTGTCCCGACATCCAGTCCTGTCATCCTCCCCACAGCGACTCTTGACCCCCAAAACCTCAAATCTGTGTGCTGGCGACATGTGTTTCTAGTTTTTTTAGCACATTTTAGCATCAATGCAAGGCAGATCGGGTGTTTTCCCATCTGCTCTTTTATGAAAAGCATCTCTTGAAACACTTAATGGTTATTAATGAAACATTCATACATTTTTAAACATCTAAAACAACTCATTTTGGGTCAATCGATTTCAAGATGGCTGCCAAAGCTAATCAAATAAAGCAGAAACATGGCTATTATGGCCACGTTTATGAATGGGTGATGGTTTCTACATCACTTATGTGGACCTTCCAGCTAAGATAAGGTATTGTTGTTCATTTTAAGTGACTGCTGACATGGAAGCTAAACAAAAAGCTCTGTTTACCCGCCCATTCAATGGCTTTAAAATAAAGTAAAGATCACCAGAACTTTCTCTGAAAGTTTGTACTTTGAATTCATATTTAGTCAATAAGCCACAGCTTCATTTCAGCCTGCAAAGTAAACCCTAACCCAGGTCTTGCATTCCTCATGGGAGTGTCACATAAAAAGGTGTTAGACGTAGATATATCTGGGCTAATTCATCCATGCAAATTCAGCAATTCCACCCCCATCTGCTGAGTGGTGACTGCTTGGCGTTGTGTAAGTTGATGCTTTTTGGATAAACAGTGGAGGAATGCGAGCATGCTTGCAGCGCGTTTGAGACTTTGAGCAGATCTGCAGTCTAATGCCAGATTAAGGCAGAGGGACCTTATTCAGAGGCAAACAATGGACCATTGCTGGAGTCATAATGAGCATTTGGCCTGAATTCGTTAGGGATCGCTCACTGTAGGCACTAGAGGAAAAATCACAGCAAGAGCAGAGAAGCTTTTTCTCTCAAGCTAAACATTTACAGCCTTGAAACGAGAGGAGACCATAGGAACAAGACCTGGGAATAAAAATAATGAACACAACCACAGAATACATTCAAAAGGACGTTTAGTGTCTTAAAGCATTAACATTAGACATATTTAACTCAGCAGATCAATAGAAAATAACTTCTTACAGTAGTAACAAATCTGACATTAATGTCTAATAAAATATTACACTTTTTGATTGCCTCAACTTTCTAATATTAGGAATTAAAGATTTTAGTGTTATAAAAATACTGGACATGTCTCAACATTTGTGCATAAACCTGTATTTTATGAACGATTCTTTGTGCTTTCGTGGGTTAAGCCTGAGTGACGGAGAGCCAGAGTCTCCTCCTGAGGCTCTGGACCATCACAGTGGTCCCAGTGTTAATGAGGTCCCCACAGAGTTCACCCCTAACAAAAACAGATTCATTCCTCTGTTCTCCAGTGGTGGATTAGTCCTTAAATCCCAGGCCATGCCTCCAGATTTACCTCAGGACTTAGCTAATCTTCTCAGCGCTTTGTTTGCCACATCCACAATCGTTACTTCATTGTTCCAGTTCAGGTCACGGGGAGTCATAACTGACTGTCAGATACCGTTACCTCTTTCCCGTTGCTGGCCACGGTGTGTGTGTCTTGCAGGTGAGTTTGTGCCGTGTCCTTGGTCTCTGTGTCACTACGGGGGATACTGTCAGGACGTGAGGTGGACCCCCCTTTACTTCCGATGGTTAGGCTCTTCTGGAAGCTCTCTGAAGTGAAGTAGTACACCACGGGATCCAGGCAGCAGTTGAGACTGGCCAGACACAGGGTGATGGGGTAAAGAGTTCGAGCAAAGCGCTCCACAGTGCAGTTAGCCAGTGCCTGGGTTCGGACGAGGGCATACAGGAAGAGCAGGAGGTTATAAGGGACAAAGCAGATGATGAAGATGCTTAGATGGACCACAATCATCCGCAGGACTCGCTTCTTGCTGTCACATCCATGACCGACTGTCACTGGGCGGCGCAATGTCCGTAGAACCAGTGAAGAACAGACTAAGTTGGCCAAGAGGGGAAAGAGGAAACCCACAATCTGGAAAAAGAATAAAAATATGACATGAAAGTGTAGAAGTATTTGCCCCCTTACAGAATTCTTCTGCTTTTGCTCTTTTGTTACATTTAGATGTTTCAGATCGGCAAAAAACTTCTACATCAAAGAGTACTGTCTTTAAATTCAAATGTCTGTCTTTAAATGATCATTTCATTCATCAAAAGACCAAAGTTTTCTAAACTGATTCTATGCACACAAAAAAATAAATAAATAAAAAGATTACCCCCAAAACTAATGACAGTTTGTGATTGTTTGTGGCAATCCCACCCGTCAAACACTTGTGATAACTAGTAATGCATCTCTTATGAGGTTGTTTTACTCATACTTACAGAACAGTTAAATTTCAGCCATATATGAGGGTTTTCCAGCATGAGTTTCCTGCTTGAGGTCAAAGGTCACACAAATGTCAGAAATTTTTGAGTCTTTTGAATTGTCTCCTACAGTATTTTCTGCTACAGAGCAAAATGTATGTTTCTGTTGATTACAGAAAGTGGTTGTGAAGCAGCAAAACAACCCCATACCATCACGTGACCACCGCCATGTCTGACTGTAGCATAAATGGCCTCTGATATAGCACCTTCTAGGACTCTACAACCCCCCAAGGCACTTTAGAACTGTCATTCACACATGCACACACACACACACGCACGCACGCACACACACATTTACATGCCGGTGATGTAAATGTAGCCACTGACAGAAGCAAGGCTGCCAAGCACTGGCGCCACCGGTCCATCCGACCATCAGCAGCAGGTAAGGCAGGTCAATTGCGACAGGCGGGGATGGAACTTGAAACCCTCTGGTTACGGGACAGGCACTTAACTCCTCTGCCACCATATGATGTCATTTTACAAATAGGCCTAGTTCACATGGCTGGATTTTTAAATTGCTAGACGGTTTTCAAAACACCAGAGACCCCAAAATTGCTAAATTTCTCGAGATCATTGTGTGACTTTGGAGATAACGAACATGATGGAGGAGGACAGTGCAGCATTCTTCCGATGCCTTGCTATCTGACTGGCTGCACCTCGTTCAGCAGACAGCTCGCTTATTTGTCACTGAAATCGGACCAAGATTTCAAATATTTCCTATTTGCGATCATAGCAGTCCCAACATCCTTCCAATCAGACTAGAGCGCTCTTGACACACCACACACGGCAGAAAGAGCTGATGAGATTATCTTCAGACCTATTAAGGTAACCACGCACAATCTTGAATTTGCTGGAAGAGAAGAATTGGGTCAAAAATCAACAGAAATATCTTTCTGTGGTAACCGGAACTTGGTTTTACTTCAGATGGAATGGGACGAACCCTTTCCAGGAAGTGCTGCTTTTGCCTTTCTCTCTCCTCAGAATATTTTCCCTGAAGTCTTGGAGTCTTTTTTCCCCCAAATGTAAAAAAGAGTCTTTGTGGTTTCTTGAGTGAGCAAAGGTCTATCACCTTGGAAAAATCCAATAAACGATATTTTAACACTACACTTTCACCCCTTCCCTTTCCTACTGCTGAATCATGACCTCTGACCTTTACCATAACCCAGTGAGGACTAAAGTGTTTACTGGGTTATTTTGTTGTGGACTTTTTATGGCCTATTTTTGATATAGCACCTTCTAGAGTCCTGCCCCCCCAATGGGTTGAGAGCTTGCATCATGTTGTCAGACAGGACTAAGATTTGCTATACCAGGTGGTTGACCATATCCTTAAAGATTTGATGGAAAATGTAAAAAATATGAAGCCTCGCATGTTGGAGCCACTTTACCTCAATGAAGATGGTGATTTTAGACAGGTAGGTCTTCCATGTTTTTTTGGAGAATCCTTCAAAGCAGGTGGTGGCTCTGTGTTTGCTGTTGATGGTGGAAAAGAAGGTCACAGAGATCCCTCCGCCTACGATGGTCAGCCACACTGCAGCACACACCAACGCCGCATTCCTACGTGTGCGAATAGTGCGAGAACGGAACGGATACACAATCGCCAGGAATCGGTCTACGTTGATGCAGGTGAGGAACAGCATGCTGCCATAGATGTTGGTGATGAAGGCCGTTCCTGAAACTTTACATAATCCATCGCCAAAAGGCCAGTTGCGGTTGACGTTGTAGAAGACCTTGAATGGCAACGTGAAAACAAAAACTAAATCAGACAACGCTAAGTTGGTCATGAACATCGTTGTCTCGTTACGCATCTTCATTCGAAAGCAGAACACAAAGAGGGCAGCACAGTTGGTAATCAGCCCCAAGATGAAGACCACGCTGTAAACTGAAGAGTACAGGTTGTACTTGAAGGAGTCATCAATCCCACAATCCTCCATTCCAGTTTCGTTAATCACCAGACTGGCCATGGTGGCAGACCGGACAGAGATGGATCCTCACACAGAAATGGTACAGAAAGATTGTCAGGAAATTACTGGAAACCTGGGGGTCTGAGTTGTCAGCAGGGGACCCAGCCAAGCCCCCTCCAAGTCATGGCCAGTCCTCAGACACTCGGACCGGGTCAGGGTGCTGCTCAGCTGGTCCGTCCTATGGAGAGAAAACAAAAACTTCACTCCATCTCTTCTTTGCTATAAATGTTATCAGTCAGGGAAAAAAAGATTTCAGTCAGGAGATCACTTCACTGAGCACACACGTGTAAAGCTAAAAATTTGTTCAACCAATCAGAAAAGACACAAACACATAACAGCTGCTACTGAATAAAATGGCTTTACTGGGTATTGTCACAGGTACAAGAGTAACTATCTGTTCAGGTATCCCTGTTTACCTCCAGACCCTCATACTGTTTTCAACATCAAACACTCCTTCATACACTAAAGTAGGGCTGGGCAATAAATCGAAAATCTATCCTTAACGGAATTTCTGACTCTTATCGTGTAAATTTTTCCCATGTCAATAAATTTGATAATAAAAAATGAAAAGATGTGTGTAGGTTGGCAACGTTCATGTCCCTTTAAGAAGCGGTACCACCTTGAGTACATGCGACAGCCCCATCTAGTGGACGACTTTTGTTTCTGCACATACCTGTAGTTATCGTCCATTTATCTTATCGAGATGAAATGCTCAATATATCGTGATATTGATTTTAGGCCATATCGCCCAGCCCTACACTAAAGGCAAACTGTTTTAGGTTCAACATTTACATATTTAATATCTTACTCACTGGATGTAGGCCTCGATTTGAGGAAACAGAGTTCACAACTGTCAGGTTAGATAAACCTTTACAATGCCATCAAATTTGCATTACATTCATTGGGTATTACATAGAAAACTGTGTTTGTTAGCATGAATACCACCAGCAGCAACTGGTTTCAAATTAGTGTGAAAACATTCCAGGCCACCAAACCTATTCAATTAACACAATAGCATGTCCCATATTTACTGGCAGAGAATAGTAATTAGCATTTACAGTAAGACATGAGATTAGCTATGAGTTCATTTCTCACAGTGTTCATGTATTATGTGTGTGTGTGTGTGTGTGTTTGTGTGTGTTGGGTGGGGGGGGGGTTGATCAGCAGTAGGGTGTGACTAATTGGCTCACACATGATGCAACCTAATTTCTCAAAAGTGCAGTTGGATCAAATCTGAAGTTGCAAAGGTGGGAAGCCACTCATGTGAAAATAACCCTCCACAATGTTGAAAGTGTCCCTGCGGTTAGGCCAGTCAAGTAAACAGAGAGGAAGTATTGCTGCTGAGGAGAGGAGGTCTAGCTATGTATATACACACACTGAACAAAAGTATAAACGCAGCACTTTTGTTTTTGCTCCCATTTTTCAGGAGCTGAACCCAACCATCTGAAACTTTGTCTACATGCACAAAACAGCCATGACTCTCAAATATTGTTCTGAAATCTGTCTACATGTGTGTTAGTGAGCACTTTTCCTTTACCAAGATAATCCATCCCACCTCACAGGTGCGGCTGATTAGACAGCATGAATAATGTACAGGTGAGCCTTAAGACTGCCCACCAGCATTATTTTTGTGTTCAAGTAAGACCCTACCAAAGGACGGCCATTAGGGTAAAAAACATCTCTGGGAGCATGGACGTGATTTTGGGGGGGGGACACCCCCCACCCACCCAACCACCCCTTTTTCCAAAGTCAAGGTTTGACCCCTGCACTTTTTACCATCCGAAAACAATGTTACGCTGTATTAAATTGACACTGGTTGAGCTCTAGGACCAAGCGGAAAACAACCGCAGGCAATCTAGCCCGGATTCGGCGAATAAAAAGATGACCTGCATTATTTGCAAAGCAGTCCTCGCGTATCACGCCAGCACGTCGCTGATGCATGAACACTTAAAGAGAAAGCACGTCGGACAGTTGAATGAAACAGTCTGATCTAGGGCTGCAACAACTAATCGATAAATTCGATGAAAATCGATTACTACAAGCGTTGGCAACAAATTGCGTCATCGATTCGTTGTGTCGCACAACTCTTCCAAAAGCGCCCCCCCCTTCCCGCCCGCCGTTGCGCGCAGACAGATCAGCGCGAGGGAGAGCCGGCAGTTGTTTGGAAGAGGAACATGGCAGAAGCAGCGAAAGTCAAAAAAGTAAAAGCTTTTTTAAGTTTGGGAGCATTTTCAGTTAAATCAGGCGAAGACATGCGTTACCTGCAACGTTTAGGTCAGACTTGGCATGGCACGGGGTGATGCAGCGTCTTAAACGCAAGCATGTCGGGATCATCAGCGAGGAAGGAGAGAACTCTGTGTCCGGGTAAATTAAAAACTTTTCAAAAGTGATTCATCCAAGTCCCGGATTATTACACCGGCTAGACATGCCCTGAGCTCGTAAAAAAAGAGTCTAAAGTCGTGAGCGCGACGCTTATTAGATGAGCGGGGGGGACTCGCGCTGCTGCGAACCGGTTCTGCCCAAGGCCGGATTAACTGGGCAATTGCCCAGGGCCCACGAACTCTAAAGGGCCCAGGGCACGAGCAAAATACTGTATCTATAATTTCCCGCTTTATGAGGACTATGGCGACCGTACGTTCCGTTTTCCCCGGACGTGTCCACTTTTCACTCTCTGTCCGGCGCGTCCGGACTGCGGGTTCTTGTATTGATGAAAATGTCCGGCTTTTCATCCAGGAGTAGGGATCGAATTATGGGGGAGCTGTATATCCTACACATCCAGGGGAACCGGAAAAAAGTTTTCTATATTATATCATTTTTGGACTCTTTTGAGCAGAGAGCGGCACAGCGCGTTGTTGCGCAACGATCCAGGCAGCTGCTTCCAGCGCACGGTCCATTCTCAAAGTGGCGCAACCAAAAAACTATAATTAGCACACGATCGTTCATGTCTGCACATGTTCTCTATTTTCTGTCTTATTTGTGCCTGAAGCGCGCTACTGCGGAGCTCATCACCTGTGCTGCGGTGATTTCACCTCACGCAGCATCGAAAACGCGCTCTCCGCTTTGCGGTCATGAGATCCCTTTGATCTGCTCAGAAGTAACTGATGAGGTGAAAAAGTAAGAATCCAGGCAACAGTTTTTCTGGAGAATTAAGAGGAGATGCAGGGAGATGAGAGACAGACAGGACAGGAAAATACAGGTGCTGGCCAGTAAATTAGAATATCATCAAAAGGTTGAAAATATTTCAGTAATTCCATTCAAAACGTGAAACTTGTACATTATATTCATGCAATGCACACAGACCAATGTATTTCCAATGTTCATTACATTTAAATTTGATATTCATAAGTGACAACTAATGAAAACTCCAAATTTGGTATCTCAAAAAATTAGAATATTCTGAAAAGGCTGAATATAGAAGACACCTGCTGCCACTCTAATCAGCTGATTTACTCAAAACACCTGCAAAGGCCTTTAAAAGGTCCCTCAGTCTTGTTTTGAAGGCACCACAATCATGGGGAAGACTTCTGACTTAACAGCTGTCCAAAAGACAATCATTGACACCTTGCACAAGGAGGGCAAGACACAAAAGGTGATTGCTAAAGAAGCTGGCTGTTCGCAGAGCTCTGTGTCCAAGCACATTAACAGACAGGCGAAGGGACGGAAAAAATGTGGTAGAAAAAAGTGTACAAGCTCTAGGGATAACCGCACCCTGCAGAGAATTGTGACGACAAACCCATTCAAAAATGTGGGGGAGATCCACAAAGAGTGGACTGCAGCTGGAGTCAGCGCTTCAAGAACCACCACGAGGAGACTCATGAAAGACATGGGATTCAGGTGTCGCATTCCGTGTGTCAAGCCACTCTTGAACAAGAAACAGCGCAAGAAGCGTCTCGCCTGGGCCAAGGACAAAAAGGACTGGACTGATGCTGAGTGGTCCAAAGTTATGTTTTCTGATGAAAGCAAGTTCTGCATTTCCTTTGGAAATCAAGGACCCAGAGTCTGGAGGAAGAGCGGAGAAGCACAGAATCCACGTTGCATGAGGTCCAGTGTAAAGTTTCCACCGTCAGTGATGGTGTGGGGTGCCATGTCATCTGCCGGTGTTGGCCCACTCTGTTTCCTGAGGTCCAGGGTCAATGCAGCCGTCTACCAGGAAGTTTTAGAGCACTTCATGCTTCCTGCTGCTGACCAACTTTATGGGGATGCAGACTTCACCTTTCAACAGGACTTGGCACCTGCACACAGTGCCAAAACCACCAGCACCTGGTTCAAGGACCATGGTATCCCTGTCCTTGATTGGCCAGCAAACTCGCCTGACCTTAACCCCATAGAAAATCTATGGGGTATTGTGAAGCGGAGGATGCAATACGCTAGACCCAACAATGCAGAGGAGCTGAAGACGACTATCAGAGCAACCTGGGCTCTCATAACACCTGAGCAGTGCCACAGACTGATCGAGTCCATGCCACGCCGCATTACTGCAGTTATTGAGGCAAAAGGAGCCCCGACTAAGTATTGAGTGCTATACATGCACATTCTTTTCATGTTCATTCTTTTCAGTTGGCCAACATTAGAGAAACAAACATTTTTTCATTGGCCTTTAGAATATTCTAATTGTCTGAGATACCAGATTTGATGTTTTCATTGGTTGTCACCTATAAATATCAAAATTAAACGTAATAAACATCGAAAATACATTGGTCTGTGTGCATTGCATGAATATAATGTACAAGTTTCACGTTTTGAATGGAATTACTGAAATATTTTCAACCTTTTGATGATATTCTAATTTACTGGCCAGCACCTGTAGTTCAATAAAAACAACAAAACAAAACAAAGTGTTGAAAATTAAAATGTAGGTAGATTTATCTCCACTACACGTTTTTACCTATAAAACAATAAGTTACACACATGTAATATTTATAAATTTGATACTATTCAGGTCACCTTCAACACTCAGTCACACACCCAGGGCCGTTTCAAGACATTTTGGGGGCCAAGGCAAAATGCCCCCCCCCCCCCATTACTGGGCTCCCCAGAAGCCTCTGTGTAATTCATACCCTCTCCAGTAGTGTTAGTTATACGGTGTTTATAAAAGCCCCTCAGGCATTACTGACATGTTCTAATATTATCAGATGAAAAACTAAATTATCAGACATGCTGTCTCATCTGCTGCTTTTC